CCATATTAGGAGTGTTAATTCACGTCCTGCTGGAGGAACAGTTGTGTTTGATGGCTGAGCCGGCGGAAGCGGGCTTTTTTGTTTGTGCAGTAAGTTGTCGTTGAGAACTTGGATTGAAACAGTCTGGAAGGTTGGCATACAGCGGACTAACTCCTGTGGCTCGCGCACGCCACGTGGGAGCCACGGAAGAAAGGGAGCTTCCCCAGAACAGAGTAGGTACCACCTGCAAGTCGAACGTATCCGAATCGAGTTCCCCTGCAAGTACATGCTTCGACTGTGGTTCCGACCGCGACACGGCCTTTCAGGTTGTACATGCCTCTTCCTTCTATGTCCACTTGAGGAGTGAATATTTGTCGCTGGTCTGCAGTCGGCAGAAGAAAGTGATCACCTCTGATGGTAAGAAACTTTTGTCGACGTTCTTGTCGTCGATGTGGACGGGGTTTCGGGGCACGCTCCTGCAGTGGGCCTTTTTGGAGAAGCATCATTGGTTGACGGCCGCTCGGAACCAGACTTGGACCAAGAGGTCGTTTGGTTTGCTGGCCAATCAGGGGCATGTAAACATCTCAACGGTGTGGGCACGATCTTGCGTGCATGTGGAGTTTCGGTCCGCCGGCCGTTGAAGGATGCGCTACGCTAGGATGGTGACGACCCCGGTTCCCGTTGAAAGAAGAAAGCCGATTTGGTGGCGCACACGGCGTCCGGCTTCTGCCCGACTTGTCTGTTGTTGGTGGTCTCCCGGCGTCATCGATCAAATAGTTAAGATGGCCGGCCTCCCTCGGTGATGAGTTGTAGGTTGGCACCCGAGAGCATTGACAATGCGCCTCCGTCATCTCACCGCTCGGTGAGAACTGGATTGCACACAGACTCTGCTTGTTCTAGCGTGAGGTCTGGTGGTGTGTGTGGGTGACATGTGGCGCCGGTCTCGACCAAGGTTTGTGCAACAATCAAGGAGCGGCACTTGCGGAGGAGTGTTCCGCGCGCCGTGTGCTCCGCCGGTACCAGTCACCCCCAGGCCAGCCATAATCCGAGTCTATGCAGCTGAACACACAGGAGACACAACGAGGTCCTGGAAGCTTTGAGGTGGCGCGGATGTCCCCAATCAGTACCGCAGCCAGAGTCTGATCTTGACCATGTTGGCAATCTGGCGATCCAGGTACCGACTGAGGCAAGGCTGCACAGCGACACCAAGGTGGTAAGGTGTCATGGTCCATACTGCACTTCTCGGTGGTGAAGAGCGGCAGTGGTAGCCAGGTGTTGGATGTGCAAGCAGAGTAGGGGACTGTTGGTGTTTGACGGCAGCCATATTGTCGGGACCGAAGAAGGGGCGTAGCAAGAAAGTTGTTCATCGCTGTCTACGTGGTTTTTGTCGTCAGTAAGCCGGGATAACTCTTACAACAATATTTTGTTATGATCTCGCCTATGTACTCGTATTCCTACTCCGCGCTAAACTTTCTTAGACAGACCGGAATGCCCGCTGCCGGGGGCTAGTCGCCGTTGAAATGACATTGTGTTTTTGGTCCCAAGGGGAAGTCTTGAGATGCGTGCATACATTTAGATTGCGGTCTAGTACTATTGGTTCCCGGACATCAGGTCTGTTTCAACAAACTAGTCTTCCTCCTTCGCTGCTATCTCGGCCGATAATTGACGACATAAGGGTTCCGATATTGGCATGCCGCCTGGAGTTGGATGTCATAGCAGAGGCGCCAACCGGTTTTGCAATTTCGAGGAGGAAGACGATTCGGGAAACATCTGCGGAGAGAAAGAAATACTGAACAATCAGGTGTTTGTGAAAGGTAATGTCATGTGGCACCACAAGTCGCCTTTCATGGTTGTCAATGCAACTGGGATCGACGAAGGAGGGGATGGGAAACAACAAAAAATTTCGCCTTCGCGTAATGAAGTTGCTATGCATCTCCAATGGCCGGAGCTTTGCGGATGTTCCCAACCGACGACAAGTTGGGGAATCGGAGATGCAGGTCACCTCAGACTCAGAGAGTGCGATGCGAAAGAATGTCCCTTCCAGGCTACAGTCAGTCAGTCAGTCGATCTACTCCTTCCTTGAGAACCTGTATCTAGGACACGGCGGTGAACTGAGTGGGAGTTCCTTCCTTGGAATATCAACCTGGAATGTTGAGCAAGAGGCAAGTGCTGCCCGCTTCCAAGGTTGTCGAAGAATTGAGAAGGAGCAACCCTACCTGTAGAAAATTCCACCATTCAAGCCTAGTGACAAGCCCCGATCGAAGTGGGCGTCGCTTGGCGAATGCTTTCCTTTCTTGGCTTGACGAGCCCCCATCTTTTCATCTGCCATCTGCCGTGCTCCATCGACAAGGCCCGAATCTCGACACCCATTCCGTAGCCCACAATCTCAGCTGGGCAAGCTGGGCGTCCAATCGATATCCTCTGCGTCAAAGTGCATCAAGCGCATCATGTTACCTGCCACTCAGCGTCACTGATGTCTGTCATATCTGTCACTGACACAGGCACTCTGCCAGGCCGGTCTCAGGTCGCCACCATGTACATATCGTCATCTCCGTGATCGCCCTCCAACATACACTATGATGTACCAAATACGGAGTCACTATTCTCTTGGACGAACGCAATATCAGACCCCTTTCTGGACCGTCCCCTGTGGTGGCTGGAGTCGCCCGACACACAAGGAACGCTTTCCTGCTGCCTCCGTCCCCAGATGCTTAACAGCAGGCACATATACCTAACGTCTTATACTTACCATGGCGCGGAATAACAGGCGGACCTATGGCGTCTGGCGGGACGGATCTGGATGGACGTTTGAGCAAGTCTGCGGTACGATAGCTCTTCCGCTTGTCCAGGGCGTGAGGAGAAGTCGATGGCAACCCTAAGCGACAGGGGTGGCAGTAGATGTGCAGCAAAAGCACGCAGGACGTGCAGCGGCTCTGCAGCAAGAGACCCCTCGAGTAACTCTTCCGAAAGAGGGAGATTTGGTTGCTACTCGTCACTCGCTACATTGTCATTTGGTGGTGGTGGTGTGGTGATGGTGGTGGTCGAGAGGCAAGAGATCCATGGGTGCCGGATCATGGATGGCCAACCGACACAGTTTGGTTCTGAAAATCTGAAAGCTCCGAAGCTCCATTACGGCATCACCCATGACAGCTTTGTTGGCCGACCCCATCTTTTCTCCCCGGCTCCCCCAGTGCTCCCCAGACTAGCCGCCCCAGCTTCCCCAGCTGCTGGCGGTGGGCAGCACCCACAGAAAAAAATCCCCAGCACAATGAGGTGATGACTGTCCCTCGGCGACACTCTGGCCGAGCGAAAGCGATGCCAAGGCCACTATGAGCGGGGATGGCACAGTCCACACGCGCCAGCAACATGCTTCTCCGCCGCTTCCAGTGCCATCGTCTGCGCAATTTGTCAATTTTCTAAGTGGAGGCTCGACACCTTCAACCTGAAGCGATGAACCGCAGCATCCAGGGTGGAGTGTTGTAGGCGTTTTGCGAGGAGCGAACCCTCCTTCAGCGCCTGCCATCGCCTGTGCCGAGCGGCCCAGTGCCAGGAGGGCAACCCCAGGGCAGGGCAGACGAGGACGACCCTCATCGGAGTGTTTCTGTGGGCAAGAAACAGCTCGTCAGGAGTGCCAGGTGCCTGCCGCATGCCGTCTTCGCAACCTTTATGCTGGCACTACGACGATAGCGTCGTCGACTTTCTCCACCGAGACCAGCTTCTGGGACCCCTGCCCTGATGGGCCATCCTTGTCTTGGGTTGCTCCAGACTGGCTGGCAGATGAAGACGAGGCCCATATATCCTCAAGCAGACCCTGAGGTGCCCGTTTCCCCAGAGTTGCTGCTGTTGCCTTTCTTCCACACGACGCTACCCGCCCCGCGCTCCCACCGCACACCTCGCTCACCCCCATATGCCTCCCGTCCCGCCGCTTATATTGCGAGGGCAATATAAAGTTGATACTTGATATTGTGCTGAACCAGAACCTCGCGCCCCGGTCACCAATCGTAGCCGGCCTGATCAACAAGCTCAACCGCGGCTTTCCTGCTCTGTATGCACGCCAAGCAGACAATACAGACTCGCAGAAAGTACCCTGGGGAAGCAGGAACAGCTCGAGAAAAATTACCGACTTGCTACCTTGCTCGATTTGGATATCCTTTTGTCCTTTTGGCGCGCCTGTCTCGCTCCGGCCCCTCTTCAACACTATACGGCATATCGTCAGAGACTGAGAGGCCGACAAAGCCATCTCGTTCGTGACGGTCCACCGGGAAGACAGACGAACGACACATCTGAGGCCTTCGGGAAGACGTACCTCAGGTCGGCTTTTGGGTTCTAGGGGTTCGGGCAGAGCTTGAGAAACACGCTCCGGACTTGTCCAGCAACCACAACCGGCCCAGCCGTTCCTCGTCTTCACACCCCCCTCCTCTTGACCCGTCTCCTTGTACGTTGAAGATCCATCTTCCCTGCCCTCCACGTTCTCGACAAGGCCCGTTTACATGCCGTCACGCCCTGTCGGTTGGCCTGCCGTCTGCTCCTGTCTCCCACACCCCAACCCCGCCATGCGGGTTCCTCCTCGCTGCACCCATCTTGCAGATGGCCGTGCCGCCTTCTTTCATAACCGCGTTGATCCCCTCCCACTGTTTTGGTCTCTGTTATGCTCTTCTGCAGACCGTCAATGCTCATGCTGGTTACTGACCATTCCCTACAGGGAAGCTCACTTCGGTCCGTCAGACTGCCGCTGGTCGTTATACTCCCGGCAGCTCATCAGCTTCCATCCGCCAAGGGGAGATATAGAAGCTCCCACTTCCCCATCCTGGACCTTGACGACTCCTTCTTGTCGTCTCTCCTCTCTACCCATCACAGACGTGGCTACGCTTCAACCAACTGCCTGCACTCGCTCGAGGCCGTCCGTCTTTATATCCTCTAATTCACGATCTTGACGATCGTCAACCCCTTATTTCTTAATCCGAACACCCTCCTCACCGCCACCACGCTTTACTCAGAAGACAACAACGCCAGCCGTCAAGATGTTATCCAATCCTCTCCACCGGTTTTCTCCTTACCATGCCATCCCCGCAAACACACTCATGTCTAATGGCCACGTTCCGGGAGGCCATCTTCATCCGGGTGGACTCGATGGCTTAGCTCCCGGATCGCACTACGCCCTCCAGCAGCTTCAACAACACGTCGGTGTTCACAATCCACACCTCGCCAGAGCAGGGTCTCAGCAAAAGCACAGGCAACACCCATATGGTCCTTCCTCAAGGGCTACAGGGGCGGCGGGTCCTATCCGCAGGAGAATTAGCAGAGCTTGTGATCAATGCAACCAGCTTCGGACAAAGTGCGACGGCCAGCATCCCTGCGCCCATTGCATTGGTGAGTTTCTTTTGGTGTTTGTGAATACCTAACATGATCCTGACAACCATAGAATTTGGCCTTGGCTGCGAATACATCCGGGAACGCAAAAAGCGAGGAAAAGCTTCCAGAAAGGATCTGGCACAACAAGCCGCACAGCAAGCTGCCGCGGCCGCCTCTTCAAACGGTCAAAAATCCCCAAGCCAAGGAGGCGAGAACGGGCAGGCCACCGAGAACGGAAGCGATACCCCAAGTACCACAAAGCAGGAACGTCAGTCAAGCTCGGATGAGAAGCCAGGAAACGATGCCGAGGAGGCGATTAGAAGCCAACGAACAGGGAGCATGGACAGCTTGGCCGAGATTGCCGCTCATCAGGCTCACATGACGAGCCACCCTGGCGCTATGGATCGCGATCATTTGGACAGCCCATCAGCATTGGACCTGAACGGCTATGGCAATGTTCACCCGGCATACGAGCGTCAAATGGGAGGCCACATGATGAACGGCCCTCCTCATGCTGCGTACGGCTCCGCCCAGAGCGGCATGTCGAGCTACCCTGACCTTCCGTACGCTCTGCAAACCCAGAGCCCAACTGGCTACTCAGCAGGTGGCCCCAATGGCTTCCGCCTTGGAAACAGCCCTCTTAGCGCCTATCCTATGGGCGGAGAGCCAACATCGCCCGGATGGATGAACATGTCATCACCACCTCCACAATTTGCCTCGCACGTACCGCAAAACAATTATAGCCACTCGCCGCTCCGGTATCCGGTTTTGGAGCCGCTGGTTCCGCATCTGGGCAACATGATTCCGCTCTCCTTGGCCTGCGATCTCATTGATCTCTACTTTGCGAGCTCATCATCAGCCCAGATGCACCCCATGTCGCCATACGTTCTGGGGTTCGTGTTCCGAAAACGGTCGTTCCTGCACCCTACTAAGCCTCGTCAGTGCCAACCAGCTCTCTTAGCAAGCATGCTTTGGGTTGCTGCCCAAACCAGCGAAGCTCCTTTCTTGACGAGCGTCCCCTCGGCGCGCGGCAAGATTTGCCAGAAGCTTCTTGAGCTCACCGTCAGCCTGCTCAAGCCCTTGATCCACACGCCCTCCGAAGAGGCGTCGCCAGTCTCGAGCCCCATTGTGGATGGTGTGGCCCTAGGCGGTCTCGGTGTGGCGCTTCCTGGCTCCATCAGCATGGACGCTCTCACAGGCGAGTCCGGGGCGTTCGGCGCTGCCGGCTCTCTTGACGATGTGGTTACCTACATCCACCTGGCCACAGTGGTCTCTGCCAGCGAATACAAGGGCGCCAGTCTTCGGTGGTGGAACGCCGCTTGGTCATTGGCCCGTGAGCTCAAGCTCGGTCGCGAGCTGCCTCAAAACGCTCCATCCACCCGTCAGGGCGGCTCTACCGACAGCGAAGAAGGCGAAGAGCGTGGAGAGATTGGGAGTCTTCAGGGAGTTATCACGGAAGAGGAGCGTGAGGAAAGACGACGGATCTGGTGGATCGTCTACATTGTTGACCGCCACCTCGCTCTCTGCTACAATCGCCCCCTGTTCCTCCTTGATATTGAGTGCGATGGTCTGTATCAGCCAATGGACGACACCGACTATCAAAACGGCATTTTCCATGCCTACACGGACCCCAATGTGCTCGCTTCAGACCCCGAGTCTTCTCAAAGCGTTCGCGGCCGAGGGCCCTGCTTCGAATGCACAGGCCACAGCATCTATGGCTACTTCCTTCCCCTGATGACCATTCTCGGCGAGATTGTCGACCTTCACCACGCCAGGAATCACCCCCGCTTTGGTGTTGGCTTCCGCTCCTCACGGGAGTGGGACGATCAGACATCAGAAATCACTCGGCATCTCGAAATCTATGAGCGGAGCTTGAAGAGATTCGAGCAGCGCAACCTGAGCCTCAGTGCGCAAGCGCAAGCTGCCGATGAGAAGGCCGCCGAGGCTGCCGGTGTTCCTACGGCCAACGATATGCCTACTGATATTGGCACCCCATCGGTACACAGCGTTCACAGCGTCCACACCAACTCTAGCCGGATGACAGAGAGCGACATTCAAACTCGCATCGTCATGGCCTACGGAACTCATGTCATGCACGTACTACACATCCTCCTTACCGGCAAGTGGGATCCTATCAACCTCCTCGATGACAACGACCTCTGGATCAGTAGCCAGGGCTTCATCACCGCCACTGGGCATGCTGTCTCAGCCGCCGAGGCCATTAGCAACATCCTCGAGTTTGACCCCGGTCTTGAGTTTATGCCTTTCTTCTTCGGCATCTACCTTCTCCAAGGCTCGTTCCTTCTCCTACTGATTGCCGATAAGCTGCAGCTGGAGGCGTCACCAAGCGTGGTCAAGGCCTGCGAGACAATCATCCGCGCCCACGAGGCCTGCGTCGTGACACTCAACACAGAGTACCAGCGCAACTTCAGCAGGGTCATGCGCAGCGCTCTGGCCCAAGTTCGGGGCCGTGTTCCCGAGGACCTCGGCGAGCAACATCAACGCCGGAGGGAGCTGCTGGCCTTGTACCGGTGGACAGGTGACGGCACTGGCCTAGCGCTTTAGACGGCACACCCCCCTGTCTTACGCTCCCCAATATTCGCCCATATACCCCCTTATCTCTTGGCATTCGCCCCAAATGCCGAGCTACACTTATATATATCTTCTATTTATTTTCTAATTCTCGCTATACATACACGGTGGGCTTTGGTGGTCTTTGTTTTGGATGGCGTTCTTCACACTGGCTTGTTCTCAAACCCCAAAAGGGAAGGGGGAGGGGGGGGGAGGGGTTTGGATGGTTGGTTGGGTTTTTTTCTTGATGGTCAGGTTGGGCTTTCCTTCGGTTTCTCTCGGCGGGTGGCGATGGCGGGCTTTCTGTGGGTGGGTGGATATGGTGGGTTTTTTATGAATTTGTGAACGAAACTTTTTTGGGATGTCAGCCGATCGACCACATTACACGGGAATCAAAAACGGTCTGGTTTGTATTTTGGAATTTAGGTGTGTCTGTCTTTTATTGGATTTCAAAATAGGTTCAATGTCCTCTTTTTTCCTACGACGATGTTCAACAATGTGTATTTGTGCCATACAAAAAGGTTGGGTTCTCGCCGTTGTATTCAACTTTTGGCTTCCAGTTTACCTTTGCGGTTTGACATTACATGTAGATATTTGTGTGTCCAATGCAAGCAAAACATACTTTACAAAAGCCTGTTTTGAATGTAGCCAGCAGAGGCTGGCCTTGATCTCATGACCACGCAAAACTAGACTGACAGACTTTCCTCCAGCCGTTGGCACAAGTCGCTCAATGGAGTGGGAATCCCACAATGCAACTATCATGGAGACTTTGCATGCTGCTGCTGTGTGTTCCCACAGCCCACGCACCCGTCCGCTCGCTCATCACCGGATTTCCACATTCGTGGTTGCAGTTGTGGAGACCACCGAGGCATGTGGATCTCTTCTGCGAAGTCATGTAGCTGGAAATAAGCGGAGAAACACGGAGATAATGCGGGGGGTTAGGCTTGAGATCCTGGGGTGTTTGGGTCTGGGGAGCGGGGAAACCATTTTTTTTTTTTGCTTGGGGTAATAAGAAAAGAAAAGAAATGCGGGATGGATCGGGGATCGCCATCGGTTTCTGGGGTCGGGAGAGGCAAAAAGAGGGGGGGGGGGTTGAGGGGAAATGATTTCCCGAAAAACGGGGGAAAAAGAGAATACGACCAGCAAGATGTTGACGATGTTGAAATAATGGCGGTGAAAAGGGGGACTGGTTTTGCTAGTTGGGTAAGTAAAAGACGGAATAGGTTGGTGGGTTGGTGGGTGAGAATTGTGTGATGTAATGGATGGGGTTGGAGAAGACGGGGATAAGAACGATGGAGACGGTGATAGGTTGTATGGGATGGGCTCGGATTGCCTGTTTTTGATTAGGGATTTGCTCGGCGGCGCTCCTGGGAGGAGGCTGAACATGATGACATGACGGCAGCGGCGCGGCCGAGTGCCGGGGACCGCTCGGCCGGTACCGGGCAGCACATGGTTGGCCTTTCGGGATGCCAGATAGGGTGTGGTGTTGTGGATTTCTTTGGGGGCTTGGTGAAGCGGGTTTTGTCTGGGGGCTAGAGCAGATGGCGTGTAAGCCCGCGCAGAACGCTTGAGAGATGGTGAGGCTCGGTGTCGTGGGATATATCTCGCTGAATCTTGGGGGGCGAGCTAATCGTGAAGATTGAATTATGGGGGCTTGTGTGATATGAGAAAGAAGGAAGGTGTCTATAGCATGATGATTTTCGATGAAATAGTGTTGGAATGCGTACGTGGATGCTAGCCTCAGGTGAGGTAGGCATGTAGAGGCCCCGGAAGATGCGCAGCTGGAAGTCTGACGAGAGTAGACCCAGCTAACATTTTGGCGTATGATACCTGGTTGATTTAGCTTTTTTTGAAGTTATGTACCCTGTCTTCTTGAGTGATATTAGCGGCCAGTCCAGACGTTCAACGAACACATGCCAACGTGAGACCCACTGTATCCGTTGATGATCTTCACCTTACCCACGTAAGGTACTATGCCGGCCTCCAAAAACGTAAACCGAAAGCATGCCCGGAACTCAATCGTATTTGTGAAACAAGGTGATATCAACCTCCACCAGACACGTATCATTTGATCAACCTCCGCCTCGCTCAAACAGGGTATCATGAAAAACAAACCATCGCAGCCTCTCACGCGGCATCCCCCTCAATCTCCCTCATCTTCTCATCCATCCTCCTCGCCATCACAACTTCTGGATCCTCCTCCTCCTCCTGCGGCGGCCTGTCCCCCCCCAAAATATCTCTCACCTCCTTTCTCGTTATCATCCCCCCCCTTTTCTTTTTCCCCAGCACCCCTTCCTCCCCCATCATACCCCCAACCCACCCTTCCAAACTTCTCATCCCAACCACCAAGAACCCCAGATCCTCTCTATCCACATCAAATACCTCCCACCACTCACACTCCGGCATCTTGGCCCCCAAATCCTTCGCCGCATTGTAAATCGCCGCCACTGCCAGCCCGTTGGGTTGAGTAGTCAGGCACAGCAACTGTGGTGACAGCAAAGCAGTATTCAAATACTCGACCACCCTCCTTGTGATCTTCTCCTTGGGGACATACAAAAAGTCCATTGACTGGAGGTATGTAATCGCGAGAGGATGCGGCAACGACACCGTCGTGTCGAACGACAACGAACACAGGATGAGGTGCTCCAGCGACAGGATCCGCGAGTGGAAAGCCTGGTAGGAGGTTTCGGATTGGTAGTAGTCATCTGGGATGTTCTTCGGTGGGTTGTTGCCAGGAGGAGATAGGAACGTGGAAGAGCTCGAGAGGAGGTAGGCATAGACGTTGGATAGATCCCTGGGCGTGCAAGGGCAGGGACCGATTTTGGCGACCGTGTAGAGAGTAGCTGCTGATACGTCCTGAAGGCATATATATGAACGTTAGAATGGGAGACAGAAAAAGGGAGCGAGGGGTGATGTCGAGCATACGCTGAACTCATGTGACATAATTGGTTCTATAAGCCAGAAGCGCGCCAAGAGGACATTGGCTTGCGCGGTGACGGACTGGGGGAGTTGAAGGAGGATGCCAGCTGCTTGGGTGAGGCACTGGGTCGAGAAAAATATCGCATCTCGAAGTTCGGTAGGGGGGGAGTCCAATGAGCTTCGGTGAAATATCTGATCGGGTGTTGCGAGAGGATTCTTCATGTGCGCCATGGTCATGGATTGCTAATGTGCGTGGTTGTTCAGTTGGAGCGCTCTGAACCGAACATGCTGGGGTTGCAGCTTCAAAAGACTGATCAATCAGGGTTAGGGTCTAACCAGCCTGGCTCCAGAGCACTGAACTATGCGTACGAACCAGAAGCCATGCAGGTGCGCCAAAAGATGGCAGACAGCCCTTTACTTCAAGTGTCCCCTCGTTTTTCTCACAACCTACTGAGAAGCAAGGAGAGATGGTGTCCGATGACCTGACGGGCACATCAAATCATTGGAAGATAGTGGGACATGAACAAATTACATTGCAATTATCAAGATGAGCGACAGAAGCTATGTGAACAAAGTGGCGGAGTGTGTAGAAATGTCGGACTGACTGATGAAAAAGCTGAAGGCAACCTCAAACATAGTGCTTCAAGTCCACAGAAGAAAATGACCAATCATCGAAAACCCCATCTGCAATGAAACAAAAAAGGTAGCAACACAAACCGAGATTTCTGCAAGTTGACCCTTGAGGTTGTACACGCCAACCCGCCTTGGAAAAGCAAAGCAAAGGTGCGGTACTGATGGCCTAGTAGACCTCTGGCTCGGGCTTGATAAACGCATTATCGTCAGCACCCGGAGTACTCTCGGTAATGAGTCGCTGGAGATAGCCCCCTGCTGCCACCGCGGTTGTTCTCAGGCTCGTTCTTAACTCCAGCCATGATTTTGAACCCAGGGCGGGGTGAGACGCAATGTTAAGATGCGAAGCGGTCGTCGTGCGATTGGCCAATAAGCTGTCGCGTACTGAAAGACAGGGCAGGCACACACCGCGGATGGAATGATGAATCGCCAGCCAATGGACAAAGACGAAGTAAGAGACGAAAGATCGCAAGCTAAGCTGTCTCTCCCAGGCAGCTCAAAGAAAAACAATGGCGGAGCCAAAGCTTCACAGCTGGTTGCGGGAGGGAGGGAAGAGCTGGAAAAGTAAATTGAGAGACGCGTTTGAATCGGTGGAAACGCAAGGAAGTCGCGACTTCCCGTGACTATCTGCGGGGTGGTTAATAGTGGGGGAAGTGCTATGGTGGGGCTCAAACACAAGCTGTCGGGACAAGGTGAAGTGGAGGTGGTGATGTGATCGAGAACTCATCCTGTTTGGGTGAAATGCCCTCTGGGGAAGCTCCGATAGTGGTGTAGTCGGATTATTAGATGGTTAGTCGGTCAGCAGCTCTGTGCATATGTTCAAAAGGTGGCTGCAAGGCGTTTGCTTAGGCTATCGTGCCTTCAAGAAGCTTTGAAGCGTAAAACTTGGCATATGAGTTGACTGGTGTTTCATCGAAGTTGCGGTTTCGACGAGGATGGGAGATACGATTGCCGTACCTATAGTATGCCAAATCAGACCAGAGATGCCCAATCCTTGTCACGATGGGTAAAGAGTGTGTTAATCCAGTTCATCCAATTCAAAAACGCCCCTTCCAATGCAAACCGCCAAATCTCTATGCTACCTGTCTAATATCAGGGTGTGTTCGCGTGTGATCCAAGGGAGCCTGATGCATAATCTCATAAACCACGTTTCCATCATCATTCACCCCCTCTTCTCCCAAAACAAATCACCATCTATCAGGCCCGAACCTGCCTCCATCAGGCACCTCCAAATAGCTGCAAGCCTGCCAGTCACAGCCCTGCTTGTACACCTCTGTTCCCCACCAAGAGAAGCCCTTCATCCAGCCCGGATAGATGAAACCAAAGAACACCACCACTATCCCAAAGGCAAGGCCAGAATCCAGAGCGGCGCTCATCGTCATGGTATATTTCGCCCACCAGGCTCCGGCTCGGTTCTTGATGAGGTAATTGAACACGTAGCACACCACAGCCCAAACCGAGAAGTTCAAGCCCGTCGCCGGGGGAATCCATCCGAGTGATCCGAACAAGACCGGAAGATTGATCTTGCGAACGATGGAGTCCTTTCTCTTGCGTGCGTATAGCCACAGCGGAATAGGCAAAATCCCACCGACGGCAAATGCCCAAACCAATGGCCGATATGTGGCGTTAGGTCCGAAGAATTCCGACGGCCCTACCACGCCCCAGAGAATCGACCCGTTGAAGTGCACTCGTGCGATTGGGCAGGTGAACCCGTTGATTGCCTGCGGGGTGCAAATCCCAGGTACGTTGACAAACATCCAGTTGAGAACGCCGATTTGAGTCAACGAGGACACAATAGTGGCAACCATCTGGACAGCGAACAATATCCGGGGTGGGATTTTCATGTAGTGGCCAAGCTTGAGATCAGCAGCAAACTTGATGCCCTGGGCCGAGGAGATGTAACCGTAGGTTACAAAAACCATGTTGGCTACCGGACGGCCGGGAAAGAGTGCGCCGGCGACGAGCTGGCAGATCAGATAAATACTGCTGTGCTGGTTGGTGACAGCCATGATGATCCCAATGGGGATGAAGAGGACGCTGCAAATGCCCAGGGCAAGGAGGAGGCCGTACCAGGGAAGGTGGATAGGGTAGCTGCAATCGGTTAGATATGATGTGGCGTGAAGAGTATAGGGTAGAGCAACTTGCTATTCAACAATAAAGATACCTACGGCGGTCATCGACACAAACGTTATCAAGTACCAAAGCATGGGGGCATCTTTGTATCTCTTCATCAGGCGGTTGTGAACATCCTCTCGAGTCATGAGGTTGTCGATACTTAGAGACGACCTGGCTGGTTCCGTTGCTGGTACCCGACCACGGCCGGATCCCCTCCGGGGTCGGTCCTCGTGCACACCGGCCACAGGCTCGTAGGTGCCTTTGGTTTCCGCCGAAGCCTCCTCAACTGACCGCTTCCATTGTCTCCAGATATCCTTTCCATGCCAGCAGACCGTGTGTGTGATGAGGGCTGCAAGCCCGGCAAACTGAACGCCGTAGCTAAGCACATAGGTGATGGGCAGAAACACCCTACTATAATTTGAATAAGCCTCCCTGTCGAACAGAAAGTCTTTGGTAAGAACTCTGCCAACGTCGTAAACGCTACCGGTGTTGTCAAACACGGCTGCTGACAGAATCGGCATGTATGAAGAGTACAGCCAGTTGCTGTAGTACGCAATTGGTGCGATGATCCACATCACGATCACCAAGCCGCCGACCACATTCATGGCTGCCCAGAACGGGGTAAGCAGAGGTGACCCGATGTAGGCAATCTGAGCCCAATCAAATGTCATGGGAAACAGTCCCAGACCTGACACGACGCCAAACAGGTTGGCAACCACCACATTCTTGGGGGCAAACCACGTGATGACGTTGAAGTAGCTGAGGGCTGGCATCAGGAGCCCAGGAAGGAAATAAAAGACAAAGGCACCAAACCAGACGGCATAAAAGAACTTCCATCTGCTAATCCGCCAGCCATTGGCCTCCTTATTCTCCTCCTTATGGAGCGTCGTAAACATGGCTGCCGACATAAGCGTCCCGGGCCAAATCATGCCGCTTGGTCGGACCAAAAATCGCCGTGTGAGCCCGGCAAACGTGTAGCCCAAAATTTGGGTTGAAAGGGTGAGGAGGATTTGATAGGTGATGCTGGCCTCCTGCTTGTAGAACTGCGTTTGCTCAACGATGACGTCTGTTGCAAAAGCAAATCCAAACGATACGTTGCTGCTGACATAGACGCAGCTGTGCTCCTTTTCGTTCCAACGACCCTGAGAAAGCCAAAGCCGAATCTTGTCCAATACGCCTCTTCGCTCCCATGGAATGATGTGTGGTGACGGATACTCGGATGAATATATGGAGGCATTCTCGCTTCGAAAGCCATCGACGTACTCATCCGGTGGATCGTCAGACCGTTTTAAAAGATAGTCCCACAAGAGACCGAGGGGATGTACAAGTAGCAATGCGATGACGGGTGTGATGGCAACACTGGGGTATCTTAGGGAGAAAAACAAGTTGGTAGAAGATCCGAGAAAGGAAAAAAGTATGGACAAAGCCCACATACGTGGTGTGTTGATGGAAAGACTTGTGTTGTCGGTCGGCGCAACAGAGGCCCTGACTTGGGCATAGGGAGAGTTGTCTGGGGGGTCGTTCTCATCACCCTCGTCAATCTCCGACTCGAAAATATAGGATCTCGAATCGTCATCGTCCATCTCATCCGCCGTTGCCGTATGATTCTCCGTCAAATCGTTCAACAGCGACGTCTCGGTGGTTCCAAATCGGCCTTCCAGTCCTCCAACAGTAGTCGAGCTTCCCAGCGACTGGCGCGACGACTTTCTCATAGTCACCGACAGCGACCTAGCTTGGGAGCTGGTGCGCCGTCGCCGCGACCCAAAATCGCGTGTTGATCGTCTGCTACCATATCCAGAAGACTCTTGTCTTTGGTGCGCAGCGCTGCCCTCGACTTCAGGATCGGGTATAGACTCATTGGATCCTCTTGGTGTAATGGAGCCGTACGAGGGGCTCTGAAAGCCCGCCGTCGAGCGGAGCGGGGGCATGTCCTGCGTCATGGGTGCCGGTTGTTGGCTGAAGTCTTCAAGTTCGTGAAATTCGTTTTCGTCAAAATCGTCGTATCCAAAACCAGATGCTGAGACAGGCTCGCTGTAGGTGTCGCTGTCGCTGTCGCTGTCGCTCTCGTCAGCAGCGGTAGGCGTATTCGTCGTAAATCTGGATCTGCTGCCATGGGAATCTGCAGGGAGGAGAGTGACCTGGCTTTGATCTGATTCCCTGGCGTGGTTGCGGATGGAGGGGCTGTGGATGGAAAACTGAGAGGCCGGCGACGGCGTGGGGCCTTTGCCTTCTCTCTCAGCAGCGGAACCCGGCACTAGAGGTTGGAGTGGGATGGATTGTAAATCTTGCGCGTCTGGTTTGTCTGCTGGTGCTGGGGCCAATGGACCTTGCCTGCCACCTGACGACGACATATGCCTGTCTTTGCCCTGCCTCTCTGGGATAGAGATGCAGGTGATTCGAGGGCATTTACCAGTCTGGCAGGCGTAACCCACGCGACTGCGGGGCGATGGGGGTTCCCGGGTCTCAATGACGGGTGTGAGAAAACACGAGAGGCACGTTAACAATGGGTTGGAGGGTACGGGAGTCCGGGACAGATCAGATCCAAACGGCTGGATAAGTGTCCTGCAGGTCCGCCCCGCCTCCGATCTGATATCTCAAGATGGATGTGTGCTACACAGAGCCAGTTAGAGCCACCGAGTGCGCACTTCCAGCCGAGTCTCTATTGAGCGAGATGGCTGTGGTAGTTTGGGGTTTGGGGATTGCATCCGAGTTTTGTAGAGAAAAACCGGCCAGGAATCCATCACTTGCCGCAACCTCCAGATGTGCCCCGCTCAGGCCATCTCCAGTGGATCTGATATGGCGGCTCTATCCGCTGCCTCCTCGGAATTGTACTGGGCATCCGGAAGGCTGAAAAACACAAACACTCATGGCCGACTAGTTCATGAAGTATATGAGGGTTGAATAACGGCGAGAACTTTAGTTAGGAGACAGGCTTGGTTGGTGGAGAGAACGCAGCTACGAAAGGCTTGTTTTAATGCTTCCGGCCAAGAAGCATGGGCGGCTGCACTCTGACGACATATCAGACGCTTGGGGTTGAAGACTCCCGATCCCGAATCAGGCCAAGCCTTGAATTGCCAACACGCAGCCGTCCTTCCCGAACGGAGCTCCTAGCGCCTCTTTATCAGCCTCAATCTCAACGTTCTCCAGCATCACTGGGAACCAGCTGGGGGTTTTGGAGAAAGCTGGGAAGGAAATCGCATATCCGCATTCAGCAATCTTGACATCGAAACACACCAAGAGACTTCAAGCATTAACTTCAATGCCCGAAGGCGCAGTAACAGATGAATTTGCGATGGCGTCCCTCAACGCCGCCAAGCAACAACTTCGGACGGCTATGAAGCACAAGCTCCAGGCCATGACTCCCGAGTCTGTTCTCTCACAGAGTAGGATGCCGACCCGTAACTGAAGCCACACACGCGGTATTGTAAAACTGATTGCTGTTCAGGCTTGGTCGTGTTCAACAAGCTCAAAACCTTTCCGCCTTTTGTCAAGGCCAAACGAGTCAGTGTCTTTCTGTCCATGCCAGGCGGCGAAATTCAGACAGACGCCATCGTCAGACACGCTTTAGCCTCCGGAAAGGAAGTTTTCGTGCCCTACCTTCATAAAAACCCAGCCACATCTCCAGCTCTTCCCGTGCGGGTCATGGATATGGTGCGTCTTAAAGACTTGGCAGATTATGAAGGCCTGACGCCAGACAGATGGGGCATCCCAAGCATCAACCCAGCCACCGTACACGAGAGACAGAGAGTCTTTGGTGGCCCGGACGCCCAGCACTCGCAAAGCACTCTGCTCGACCTCATTCTCATGCCGGGGGTTGCATTTGACATCGATCCTAACAACGGCGCCATCAGGCGGCTTGGGCATGGCAAAGGGTTTTATGACTACTTCTTGAGCCGACACAGCGCAAAGTCGGCTGAGCTAGGGCAACAAGAGTCTCCTGTATTGCTATATGGCTTAGCCCTGTCTGAACAGTTCCTGTCTCCGTCCGAGGGGGCAGTACCTGTTGGTCCTTTTGATCAACCTCTGGACGGGCTCATTCTCGGGAATGGCGAGATCAAAAGCCCTCCAGCTGCAAAATAAAAACAGTCTGATAGTCCCGCGCCAATCGGTTGCCGTGCGCCTGCCTGTCCCGCTTTCCCTCTGGTATCCCAAATCGTGTAACGTCTTTTTCTCTTGCCAACCCCGACATATGTAGACAATCGAAACAAAATTATACCCATCTCCCGGCCATTCCCGCCCTCTATGAAACTCAACCCTTCACCCTGAATAGCTCTGGATGAGGGACACATTGTCGCCCTTGAGGAGAATTTGCTGGAGTCTAGTCAGCACAAGAATCGCCCGCTGCAGGAGGAACATCTCAACGTACCCCCAAATTTCTTCTCGTTTCTGTGTCGTTCGTCTTGGAGATTTGTTTGACCTCCACGGCATCGTCGATCTAAGGGGTACAGTGTCAGGTCACGATTGGATATGTTGTATTGGTATGCGCCAGACTTACAACCAGGTTCATGAATTCGTCGAAGCCCTGCAACGAAAAAGAGAGGGTTAGCGCATGGATGCGATAGACAGAGGATAAGAAGGAGCCACATACACGGATAATGCCAATGATGCGGATCGAGAGCTGCTCGTAGAGCCAGATTTGGACTGGTGTTCTCTGCTGCAGGAGTTTGAAAAGAAAGTTGATTGGTGGGAGCAGAACCCGGCGACCACCACCTCCTCCTCTTCCAGTCATTGTGTAGTGTGAACGGGTTGTTGGCGTGGAGCTGCTGTGTGGATGGATGCGATTGCGGTGGGAGGTGCGGTTGCGGTAAGCTGGTGTTTTTAAGACTTGTCGCGCTCAAGCGTGTCGTGAAATTCGCCCAAAGAAATCCATCTGGCGGAGCTGCCAGGCCTAAGGCCAAGACCCGGAGGACCACTAACAGACGGTCCGTGCCCACTCCCCCTCCTTTTCTCTTCCACAGGCAAGCCGCGGCGTCCCACTGCAATTGGCTTCGTTCATGGTGGGGGCGGTTTGTCGGGCAGCCTGACGTTTCTCTTTTGCTTGCATGAGGGACCGACGTCGCCAAAGAAAGTCTAAAACAAAGGACCCATCCCACCTTCCGAACAACACCAAGCTTTTGCCCGTGAACCAAACCTTGCGATCATCTTCCACCCCCCCGCGAACCCCGCCTAATCAAGCGGCGCCTCCTTCCTCTCCGCGCGAAGAACCGAGCTTTTCACCAGCAACCGCCAGACGCACCACGCCAGGAAAGCTATCTACTGCCGCTATAATTTGGAGGGAGGGGCCATCTTCGCATACGTCTTTTGCGGCTTCAACAACAGCTGCCTCATCCAACCCCACCAACTGGACAGTGAACCATCCACCCTCCTCCTCCACCACCCTCAAGCGACCGTCGCAACGCTCTCGTCATGGCTTCGAATGGCGTGGAGGACGCTTTTGCCGTCGGCAGTGTGCTGCAGGCCATGCTGACCATGCGGAGCGGGGATAATGACAAGAAGAAGCAGGCCGCCGATTATCTGGCCAAGTTCCAGAAGTCTGTGAGTGATAGGCTCATATCAAGGGGCATGCCGAATCAGTGCACCATGCTAACCTGGCCCTAACATCATAGAAAGCCGCCTGGACAACAACAATCTCGATACTTCAGAGCTCGACCGAGGCCGAAGCACAGCTCTTCGCGGCAACAACCCTGAAGGGCAAGGTACGAATACATGCACACTAGACGACCCCTGGCAAGAAACATCAGGCTGTGGTGAACCGAAGCTGACTGGACTCCAAGATCACATATGACCTCGCAACTCAGGTGTCCGAGGGCGACCTCCCAGCCCTGCGCAGCCAGATCCTGTTGCTGCTCAAGAAATATGCGCCCGGCCCTAAGCCGGTGCGGGTTCAGCTTTGTGTCTGCCTCGCAATCTTGGCAATCCAGATGCAGACATGGAAGGATGTTTTGCCCACCGTTGTATCAACTCTTGGGAACGACGTCACAAGCCACGCCTGCATCCTGGATTTCCTCCGTGTCCTTCCAGAAGAAGTCACGGAAGGACGAAAAATCACCCTCTCTGTATGTGGACCGATATCTTGCGACACGCCTCTGCCTCTATCTTTACCTCGCGACATTCCGTTTTTGGTGGATCGGCCTGGGATCAGTATCTAATTGGGTCATGACAGGAAGAAGAACTCTCCCAGAGGACATCGGAACTGCTGGGGGACAATGCTGAGCAGGTGGTGCAACTGCTTATCAACTATGCACAGTCTTCTCGTAAGTTTCCCCATCTGGTTTGGCCCCTGGATGACTCTTGTGGTTCCTCGCTGACGACTTGGGCAGCAGCTGCGGCTACCAACCCTCAGCTTTTCGACTGCATCAGTTCATGGTTGCGTGAGGTGCCCGTGGGTGTTGTGGTCAGCTCTCCTCTCATGAGTGCGGTTTTACATGGAGTGGCCAACGACAACTCGCTTTTGGCTGCTGCTGACTGCCTTACTGTGATTTGCCGAGAGACGAAGGAGGTGGATGACAACCGCGATACGATTGCCCTCCTCCTTCCGAGGCTTCTTGAGCTCAGGCCACGCATTCAGGCTCTCGTCGACGAGGACGATACCGAGGGATTCAAGGCGATCACCCGCGTCTTCGCCGAGGCTGGTGAGTCTTGGGCCTTGCTGGTTGCTCGCGACCCTCAACACTTCCGCCCTATTGTGGACTGTCTTCTTGAATGTTGCGCCAGAGACAAGGAGAAGGACGTGCTCCACTATACCTTCAACTTTTGGTACGAGCTCAAGCAGTACCTGACTCTGGACCATTACATGGAGGCTCGTGTGCAGCTCGTGGACGTCTTTGCCCAGCTGGTCGACATCCTGTTGAAACAGCTCGAGTATCCAGCATCGGACGACCCCAACAATGTTGACCTCTTCGACGGCGATCGTGAGCAAGAGGAGAAATTCAGAGAGTTCCGCCATCATATGGGAGATACGCTGAAAGATTCCTGCGAGGTGATGGGGGTCTCGGCATGCCTTACCAAGGTCTACGACGCCATCAAATTGTGGCAGGAGAAGTTTGGAGGCCTTGCCACTCCCACTTCTGTTCCCCACTGGCAATCGTTGGAGGCACCCCTTTTTGCCATGCGTGCTATGGGACGCATGGTGGATAATGGTGACAGTTCTGTCCTTCCCCAAATCTTCCCGCTTTTGGTGCAGATCCCCGTGAGCAACGAGAAGCTTCGATTCGCGGCCATCATGGTTTTTGGCCGCTATACCGAATGGACTGCGGCCCATCCGGAGTTTCTCGAGTCTCAATTCCAGTATATCGTCTCTTCCTTTCAAGCTGACTCGCAGGAGATTCTGCGCGCTGCGGCTCAGTCTTTCAAGTACTTTTGCACTGATTGTAAGACCCTGCTCAGCCCGCAGGTGATCCAGCTGCAGGCTTTTTACGACGGCATCCTTGACAAGCTTCCTATGCCTAGCAAGGAGGAGGTTACTGAGGGCGTCGCTGTCGTCCTTGGTGTTCAAAAGCCAGAGGAAATTTACCGCTTGCTCAAGCTGTACTGCGACCCCTTGATCAACCGGCTGATGGTCAAGGCCAACCAAGCAACGGACGAGAAATCCAAGGTTGATCTTGCTGGTACGTTCTCCTTGCGCGACACCTGTCTGGATTAGCACTAACATGGTTGTCAGATCACATCAACCTCCTTACTAACTTTGCACAATACGTGGTGCCATATATTCCCAGTGATCAGGAGAATCCTGCGGTCAAGTACTGGCAAGAGGTGTTCCCGATTCTGTCAACCATCCTGGATAACTTCATCACGTTCATCCCAATTTGCGAGCGTGTGTGCCGGTGCTGGCGGAACATGGTGATTTCTTACAGAACCGCCATCACCCCTCTTCTCGGACCATTGGCCAACAAGTTGGCTGAAGGGTTTGCCGCATCGAAGCAGGGGTGCTTCCTCTGGGCCACCAGTGCAGTCTTGAGGGAGTTTTCAGAGGACAGAGAACACGTTGAAGATGGCATTACTAACGACATCTATGTCTTCTTCGAGGCGCAGGCGACAAATGTTCTCCGCACTATGAGCGATATTAAGCCTATCGATCTCCCAGATGTCATTGAGGACTTTTACCGCCTGCTCATCGATGCCCTTCTTTATTATCCCACCAAACTTATTCCCTCTCCGCTCTTCACCCCTATCTTTCAGGCTGCTATCTCGGCTTTGTCCCTGGAGAAGCAGGAGCCCGTTTCGGCAGCCCTTCACTACATCCGCGATCTCCTCACATACGGTGGGCCAAACCCAGCCACTTCCAGTGATGCCCTTGGAACAGCCGGCGCCCAGCTTCGCCAGATTGTCAAACAACTCCTGCTCGAGCAGGGCGGAGCGCTGATCAAACAGACCATGGCGGGCATGATGTTCACCTTCCCCAGCGACTGTTTCGCCGATGGTAGCGGCGTCTTGCTGCACATGTTCCAGCTCCTTCCTCAGGAGACAGCTGCGTGGGTTGAGAGCACCATCCGAATGCTTCCCGCGGGAACCGTCACGCCCGTGGAAGCCAACCGCCTTCTCAGCAAGATTAAGGAGAAACTCAGCGGATCAGATTCCGACCGGAGACAGATCCGTATTCTGATGCAGGACTTTACCAACACATACCGCCGCCGGTATGTGGCGCCTCGGGATGGTCTAGGACAGTTGGAGGCGACCCAGTTCCACTTCTCTGGGTAGATACGCTGCGGGTATGGGTGGACTTATAGGATTGGTGTCAGGGGGGATTCTCGCGGTGGACAAGGGGGAAACATTTTGCGGATTGGGATGTGTCTGTGCATATATTTTCGAATTCGTCTCTTGGGCGCAGGAGTGGAGGATTTATGACGGGTGGTATATCAGGTAGCTGGTGGAGGGATATTGAAATGCATGCGATGTTTTTGAGGGGGGGCGAAAAGATAACGAAAAGGAAAAGAGGAGGGCATCAAAGGAGTGAGAAGAGATCGAAAGACAGCGGTGGGAAAGACAGTTGCATTACGACACCTAGATGGGATGAGGGCCACGACGACGGAAAGCGAAGATAATTGAATTGTGTTGTGGAGGATTTATATGTAGATAGTATCAACATCCCTATTTTTCGTCTTTTTTTGCTACCCTTTTGCTGTATCACCTTTTAGCCTGAAGTTTTCCCGCACTTTTTCTGTCTTTTGATTTTGTCATGTTTTCATACAACCTACAATTCTTATCGTTTCTCTTCAAGTATTTATAAGACTAGGAGAATGGTGGTATTCGTTGCTGCATAGGTCGATTGGCCTTTGGGAGAGGTTGGGAAAAGCAGGATGGGATAGGGCAACAGTTGCTTTAGGGACATGGGTTTATTCAAGAGGAGGAAAGCGAGTTAGGGTTGGTGAGCAGGAAGGGATGAAGAGGACAGGAAGGGAGAGAAGAAAACAAAACAGAAATGAAAAGAGCCTACAACGGGAGTGACTTGCGCTGCTGCATGGCAACCAACATCCACCCCCTGCCAAGAATTCAGGGGAATGGAGGGTCTAGGCACAAACGATGCTGAAGTTTTTGTCGATTAGACAACATAAAATTTCAGAACGGTTCAAGAAGAATGCTATTCCTCCAAGTGATCTCGTCGTCTTTATGTTCAGTAATCAACGTTTACATCAGCGCTAGGCAAGAAATCATTGCAAGTTCATATATTGGCTATATCCGCTCCAGGGAAAATGATATCACAAACATGCTGCCTCAACCACCATCCCAAAAAGCTCCATCATCTTTTAGACACATTTACCGCCCCCTCTCCTCTATCGCCGGCAGTACCAGCTCCAGCAGTCGAAGGACCACTTTGCGCCTCCCTCCTCGCCTTGGCCCCAGCTTTCAATTTCTCCCACCTATCCCTGTATTTCTCTACTGTCTGCTCTAGCCTGTCATAATCTTTCTCCCTGGCCACCATCCTCTTTGTCAGCTCAGCCAGCTGCTCCTCCAACTCCGCGTTCCTCTTCTTCAGAGCCGCTTCCTCTCCTGAACCTCCACCTGGGGGCAAATGTCCGTACCCACCACCGCTCGAAGCACTCATTGGCGATCCGGGTCTTTGCAACCGTAAGCTTTGTGCCAACGCCAGGTGGGAACTCTGGCTGTTGAGTTCGAACGCGTGTAGACGTTTGCTCACTCTATCCAGGGCGTCCTTGAGCGAAGCGTTCTCGAGTTGGAGCTCCTCGACAACATTTTTAAGATGGTCTTTTTCGTTTGTTGCCCGAGATTTGCCCGAGTGTGATGATAGTAGAGACGGTGGTCTGCGAGAGCCAAGTTGAGGAGGTATCTGGATCTCTTGTGCGTCAACAAAGTCGTCTTCGTCGTCATCCTCTAGGCTGTTGGGATCGCGGTGTATGGAGGCTGCAAGACGACGACGTTCTTTCGTTTCATGATGAAGGATGCTAGCGTAAGATACGGTATGCCCGCTCGTAGGGACAAAATAAAAAGAGTCGGCAGCACTCGGATCTCGAGGGAGGGATCGGAGGGCCGCGCGGGAGTATATCTTTTTGAGATCAGGTTCGGTAGTAGCAGTGGTCGTCGTTGGGGGATGCGCGGTCCATTGGCGCTTTCGTGGAGGGGTGGGTTCTGGGGGGCGGACGGGGCTGGTCTGATCAGAGGTGACTGATGACTCCTCCGAGATTAATGGCAGCCCGGCGAAGGCGAGGGGCGCGGAGAGACGATTGATCAAAGTGCCAAATGTGCTATAAAACCTGGAGAAGCCCTCCTCGCTAGGGGTCGAACTGCCGGTAGTCTGTTCGACCTTGTTGGGCTCATGAGATGCATCTTCTGCAATGACAGGGGGAACCCAGCCTGGCTTGCGTGAGTGGTCCAGAGAATCCGGGGTTCTGGAGCCTCTCATGGAGCCCTCCCTGCGGGGATGCACTTCCAAACTTCCAGGAGCCTGGTCGTTGGAAACGCTGGGTGTCAGAGGCTGGCTGGGATACTTTGATCGAATTCCTCGAGCGGATGCCAAGTTGTTTGCTATGGAGGATGACAGATTTCGCCCAGGGTACCGTTGATGAGACAGCGTGGGGATGGGCTTTGTCGCATGGGCAGATCCAGGAGCAGCAGCTGAAGCCTTGGAAGATGTTGCAGTTTTGACATCGTCGTGATCTGTAGAATCTTTCTCGTCTGCCTCGGCAGTATCGCTGTCGATACTATTCTGGCTGGGGAGTCCTAGGGGTAACTTCAGCAACTCGGACAGCCGCTTATGGTGTTGCTCCAACAAGCTCAGCATGCGCAAAGCCTCGATGCTCGTCGTCCCCTTAGCCGCGTTAGCGAACTCGCCAGCAGCCTGCGCATGTTCCGTAACGGCAACAGTGGTGTCGGATGTTTGTGTAGCGATGGATGCAGCGCGGGCATGGTCGTGTGCCTTGGGTAATCAGTGTCAATAGCTAACTGTCTGTTTGCCTATTCATGAGATCGAGAACAAGCATACCTTTGTGAGCGCGGCGGACTCCATCATGGGGGAGGCGCGCGGCGCATATCAGAAAAAGAGCAAGTGTGGGAAGTGGGTGACACTGCGACGGATGGAGATATTCACGATGACGGATTGGCGGGGTGGATGATCTGCTCAGTGGACATCAGGAGCCGGCCGGCGAAAGGCGTCCACAGGCACGTAGGGCTGGAGGATTGGCGCGGATGCTTATCTTATCGCAGCGACCCGGTGCAATACGACAGCAGCGTGCAGCACAAGTTGTCGCATTGGGATGGAACCAACCCCAGGACAGCCTTCGTAACAGCTTCCACAAAGAGGGGGCGTTACTCCCTCGTCGATTAATTATTAATCTCGGATTTGAAACATCATAAGCTTCCGAGTAAAGACACTTTTCATCCAGTGCAAATTGCAGCATTTTCAACAAGGCCAACCCTCAGCCGCCTTCTCGTCGTTCAAAGCGTTGGATTGATCCAAGTTGCTGCTTCTTGGCATCTCGGCTTATGACAATGTCATCATAGGCAAACGGGAGAGCTACCATTATCCGCCCCTTCGTATCTAAACAGCAAGTTCTCGCAACTCTATTCCCCGCCTCTCTACACCACAGTACGCATAGCACTAGCAACGCGCAGCAAGTCCACCTCCTCCAAAACCATAGACCGCGATCCAGCTTGCGTGAGGTGCTGCACTGGCAGATAAAAATGGACGGCACCTCAAACGGACTGGGAAAGCTATTGCCAAAGGCCATTGCGGCAAAACGGCGGCGAAACAAGGCCTCGTCCATTTACAGCAGCACCAGCAACGATGATGTCGCGCCACACAGAGGACCAGACAATTCCAATGCCCCTGTCGGCGAAACCAGCTCTCTGCGCCGCACCGACAGCCAGCTCAGCGAGGACAATACCGATTTGATTTCGTTCGAGTCTGACACAGCATCGTGAGTGTCTCTCTCTGTCCTTGATTTCGCCCCTTTTACCCCTTCAACAGGGCCTCGTCATGCAATTTGTCCAGCCTTGTCGAGACCTCTTGGCGGCTCTTCAGTGAGGATCCCGCCTATAATTTTACGGAAAGCTACTTCGTATTAGCACCTGCTAGGGAAGCGGGCCCGGGCACCTATTGGCGTATGCGGAGCTCCGGTCCACATCCAGCTCACCACCTACCTGACCTCTTGGCTCTCGTCGTCAACCAACCTGTGCCTCCCACAGGCGGCGTTTCTGCTGCTCGTCGTTGGCCGTCGTCATCAGCCTCTCCCAACTCACGTTGATAATTACCGGTTCTTCCGGATACACGCTCCTCTCGCATTGTTTTGTTTTCATTTGTGTTATTCACCTATAACCTCAACTGACACCCGTGACATTCGCTCGCTAGGCCAGACACCCGTCCCACCGCCATCTCAGTCCACCTGTCCCAGATCGGGCACCTAACTACATCCTCGCCCCTCGTGCAGGAGAAATACAAGCCAGAGTCGCAAACCTCAGACGTCCTGTCTTCTGAAATCTCCGGATTATCGACCCGATCTTCGACTTTGCCGCAAGACTCCTCGGACAGTCTGGAGTCTACCCCTTCGCTGAGAAAGTCCCGAACCCATAACCTCCTGCATCCCGATTCCGATCCACCGAAAAGGTCTACATCTGGAAACCGACTCAGAGACGTATTCCGCTCGAAAAGGGGTTCGGAAAAGAGTTCCAGTGACGAGAAGACTGTGCCCGAGTCTTCGCCAGCGGTCAACCCAGAGTCTGAAGCCAAAGTCTCGACCGGCCGAAACCGTGCCCTTTCACGCGGTCCGACGTTGGAACCTCTGAAAGCCCCGCCGCGAACACCACAGACTCCGCCACATGGAGAGCCGACTCCGCCAGTGATCGTGAATACCCCTCCCACACCAACCGATCCTCAGCTGCCCGTCATCGTGGCGACTAGCAGCAGCCCTCGTCGTCCGGCGAATGCGTCTCCCGTGGGGAATATGATAACGCAACGAAGAAGAGCGGGGTCAAATGCAGGCCCAAGCAAGCTGTCAACGATAACATCCGCCCCTCTCACGCCAACGCCGGAAGCTGGGCCAGTTTCACCAAACCCAGCTGCCACGTTCTTTTCGTCCATGTTCTCAGCAGTCCAAAATACTGCCAACTCGCTCAGTAGCACCATATCAACGGCGAATCTAGCTCCCGGGACGAAGTCTAGGGCCGGTACACCGTCTCAGGAAACCGACAGCACACAACAGCAACAACAGCAGCAGGACGGCGTCGAGGTTGAATCCTCATCCATTCCTGATCTGTCTTCAGAATCCCAGGAGCCAGCCGTTAAAACGCTAGGCATGGGCGATCTCAGTCTTAGCCAGCTCGGTATTTCCGAGACACCGAGCAATGCTCCTAGTCCTGTGGCCTCAAAATTTGCGGATCCTGATCCACGAAATCGATCAGATTCAGCCCCGGACCCCCATCCCGCTGTGACGGAAATTGTGGACGAGTCGCATCTTTCGCGGCCGAGATCGGTGTATTCTGCCAACGGAGATCGCACGCCACCAGCAGGGAGTGTATATGAGGGTAGATCAGGGGTTCACCGGAGCGGAAGCATTCGCAGTGCTCTTGGTCACCGCAGGAAGCGAGGCAGCAGCATAGCTACACACAACACATCTGGGAGCGCCATAGGCGCTGCTATTTCAGCTGCCAACTCTTCGGTGGCTAACCCGAATGCTGCGGGAAGCACCCCGAAACTTACTGGATTTGCTGTCGCTACTAAGAAGCGCAACCGTGACTTTCATAACCTTTTCAAAAGCGTGCCCGATGACGATTACCTGATTGAGGACTACAGCTGTGCTCTGCAGCGTGAAATCCTCGCTCATGGCCGGTTATACATCTCAGAGGGACACCTCTGCTTTAGCAGCAATATCTTGGGCTGGGTGACGACGCTGGTGATGAGCTTTGACGAGATTGTCTCAGTTGAAAAGCGGAGTACGGCGCTGGTGTTCAAGAACGGCCTGGAGATTTCTACTCTACATGCCAAGCATATCTTTGCCTCTTTTGCGAGCCGCGACACGACATACGATCTCATCATCAAAATCTGGAAGCTTGGTCATCCTCACCTCCAGAGCTCTCTCAATGGCGTCCGTCTGGAGGAGCCGGGCGGCGACCGTACCGAAAAGGTTGATGTGGAAAACGTCTCTGTGGCAGGGAGCCAGAGCATATCCGGATCCGATGACGAGAGTGCCGATGGGGATGACGATGATGACGATGTGTATGATGAGGATGAGGAAGAGGAGGATAGCCAAGAAGCAAGCTTGCCTGCGGACGCAACCTCAGAGGGCCCTGATAAGACAGCCACTCGCAAGGTATCTGGTCCAGTGCCCTCGGAGAAGGCCGACGACAATGCTCCCACAAGTGGTGGTGATTTCCCAGGTCCTACCAGTCACGCCCCGACAGAGTGCGGGGATGAAGGGACACATTATGAGAAGATTCTGGGCGACGAAACTATCCCGGCGCCGTTGGGCAAAGTCTATAACTTGCTCTTTGGACCTGGCTCGGCCGCATGGATGGGCAAATTCCTGACCGTGGACCAAAAATGTCTGGATCTCCAGATGGAGGACAAGCGAGGTCTCACTGGGGAGGTCAAGTCGCGGACGTTCACCTACATCAAACCTCTTAACGCCTCGATAGGACCCAAGCAGACGAAATGTATTGTTACGGAGCAGCTGGAATCCATCGACCTCGACAAGTCTGTCAACGTGCTTTGCAGTACGCAGAATCCCGATGTACCAAGTGGCAACATATTTGTGGTGAAGACAAAGTATTGTCTTACGTGGGGTGAGAACAATGGCACTCGTGTTCAGATCAACTGCACTATCGAGTGGTCTGGCAAGAGCTGGCTGAAGGGTATGTTGTTTCTCAGATGCAAGTCGTCAATGTTGATTTGCTAACATCATCGGCGTAGGTCCCATTGAGAAGGGCGCAAACGAAGGACAGACGCAGTACTGCAAAGATCTTTTTGCCAGTCTGCGAGCAGCCATTTCTTCTCGACCACGGTCTAGCACTCTCGGTATTGCCGCAGGGGCACGTGGCAAGAAGCGTGGACGCAAGGCGAAGTCCGCGCTGGCCTCTAACCAAGCCAGCGACGTTGAGAGTGTTGCCAAGGTGTCAGTAAAGGAGAGCTGGGGTCTGCTTGAGCCTGTGCGGCCTTTCCTTGGGCCCGTGTTTGATATCATCAGGCCTATTCTTACCGGAAATGTGGTGTACGGGTTGCTTGTCGGTCTGCTGGTGGCTAGCTGGTTCGGGTTTGGTACTCGACAAGGACCAGTACCCTATGGCCGCGACATCGGGTTTGCAAACTACCCACAGCGAATTGCGGCTTACGAGGAAATGTGGAGCAGAGAGGAAAGTGAGCTGTGGGAATGGATTGAGGAGAGAGCTGGTCTGGACCGGCTGAACGGTGGTAGTATGCCAGCCCCGAGAAAGAGGACCGTGGATCCAAGGACGGTAGAGGAGAAGCTGCGGGAGGAGAGGATGGCTGAGAGAGAGCTCCGGGAGGCGATCAGAGTGACGGAGGAGCATTTGCAAGTTTTGAAGTCGGTTGTCAACAGGAAGGAGAGGGGCGAGAAGGCTACAAGTGATTGATCTGATTTTCGTGCAAGACAGGAAGGGGGGCATCTCTTCGTTGGAATGGGAGTGGGTTGGGGATTCTTCATTATTCAGGCTGACGCCGCAAGTCTTTTTCTTTGTATAGCATAAGCATAGCAATCATTATATTGGGCAGTTCTTTGGGTATGTTTATCGAAAAAGTTTTCAAGAAGGCGAGAAACAATGTGTGCCCTGTGATAGTGAGCAATTCCGACACCAAGCTTCAACAAGAGACAAGGTCCGCTGGCGTAATGGCAGCGCGTCTGACTACGATTCTTTCAAGATTCAAGTAATCAGGAGGTTCCAGGTTCGACCCCTGGGCGGATCGTTTAAATCTTGATAACTCATTGAGTTGATTTTTGCATTTCTTTTTGAAGATTTTCGTGGCAGTGGATCCCTTGAGCAACTTGGGGTGACCCCTGAACCCCTGTGCACCTCACAGCAAGAACCCATCGCTACGCTAGAAGCCAGAATTCTTATCGGCTTCCCTATGAAACAATAGTGTCAATTCAGGTAGTCTATATTACATCGATTGACTCATTGATATATGCGTATAACCCAGCTCATCACATCCCCTGAGATCCATACGTTAAAAGACAATCTTATTAAGGAGTCTCTTCATTGTCATCGAAGAGAGGGTCATGGTCGGGACCTCTTCATCATCTGGTACGCTTACACTGCCATCGTTCTTTCCGCGAAGCCTTCGATATGTGGACCGATAGACCGTGCCAACGGCCGGAATACAACATCCTGTTCCCTCCTTCCCGTCTCCGCAACATCACTTCCCTTCAAATCGTCCGAACACGTCCGTCCGCATCATGTCCACCAACACCAAAAACCATAAAATACCGGGTCAGATGGTGCTACAAACACAACCCCAAGTACCTACATGAACTCCAGCACACAGAGAAGTAACGGCAACCTTGATTGATTGACCGGCGTCGAGCCGCTGCGGCTCTCACTCACCAATGCAACAAGGAATGAAAAAGGGTCAGAGCCCTACAGGCTGACGACTCCCATGGTTCAAGCCACTCGGGGAAGCAATCCGATGTAGATCCTTGAGGGGCGGGAGCGGGAGCGCGATCTGAAACTCCTCTGCCTTTCTTTCTCCGGTTCCCGTGTGTGTGTTCTAGTCTTGCCGGTCTGGTCTGTGTGTCCGTTCCTACATATATTGTCACCGCGATGATGTAATGTGATCGATCTGAAAATATGTGAGATGGAAGCTCACCGAGACACGGGACGGTAAACTCTTGCGGAAGGTCGGTATGCAAGGAGCCAAGCGAGGACTACGTGATGGGCCGGAGCAGCTTGATAACACGTGCTGTTACGTAGGCAGGCAAAGCTCTGACATTCACTTCCTCTTCTGCAGCAAATGACGGGCTGGATAGGAACGAAATTCGAGACCGGGCAGATCAAGATGTCAAATCATGGTCAGTTCTTTTCATAACGAGAACAGCCGGGGCTTTCTCGGGCCGGAGTTAGCTGTCCGCGGATATCAGGTACCAACTTGTATCGAACGAGGCGGGCAGAACAAAGGCAGTTTACGTACCGACATCAGGACAACACCCTCCCCCAGTCAGATCATCATCAATCATTCACCGCTCATCAACAGCTTTGCTTCCCATCAATATCGAAGCATCAGTTTTCCCCGCCTGATGGTTTCGGCCGCTCGCTTGCCCGCATCAATCTCACTGCACATGCAAAAATAGAAAAAAAAAAGAAAGAAAAAAAAAACGCGGGGAACACACACGCCGTATCATGCCATTGCCCTTTTAACAATTTGACTTTGACGTGCTTGTCACAAGAAAATAAAATTGAGTAAAACAGGTCACTAAAACACCACGCTACTGCACAAGATCAACGCCGTCGCCGTTGTCAAAAACGGCTGCGGGCGGTTGGGTGTCGAAAGAGCAAGGTGAGAAAGCGGGTCTTCCCGCGGCGCCCCAAGTCAAGAAACCATTTTCTCAGATCATCCTCTCAACAAAGCGTAAGAAACCGCCACCTCCGCAATTCTTCTTGATTTATTGTCGATAGCATGGGGGAAATCCCGATGAGGTGGGCTGATATGATGCGATTCTGGCTTCTCCACGTGGGGTAAATGGTTCGATCGTTGGCACATCTCTGGGCACGTCACTTTTTGTATGTATTTGTACGTATGCATGGGAACAGAAAGACCTGCATCGGATCGGATCCGGACCTACACTTGACTATGTAGGTACAGATAGAGATGTACACTTTGTTGCTCACCTTGCAGGGTAGAAGAAATGGGAGGGTGGATGTAACCCTTCTTCTTTTTTTTCACACCCCCATCAACAGAGGATTAGGTAAAACCAACCTCCTCCGAGTTCCTGATGACAGGAAGAATGATGAAAAACAAGCAATTGTTTTGGAAAGACTGAGAAACCCTTAACGAAATAGTCGAGAGTAACAGTGAACACAAGAGTAATAGAGGCACATGCTAAACAAACCCCCTCACCCTAGTCCTCGCTCGCTCGCTCTCTTGCACCTTGCATATCAGGGAACCGCCCCATCTGCACCCCTACCAACTCAGTGGAAGGGTTCCATTATAAAACAACAAGAATTTGGTTCGAGACAGGTGTAGAGCCTACGCTTTCTCGGCTGTTTTTTTCATCCTCCTTATGTCTTGGATGTTGTACTCAGTCGACATCATAGGTAGGCTTTCACATTCCTCGCCAAACCTCAAAGGGTCATGGTAGAAAAAACAGATGACGCGATAAATCTAATCAAGTTTCTTCAACAACTCTTCTGAGCAGATTGTGCCTCACACACAGATCGCCAGCCACAAGCCCCATTCGGCACAACCCGCATTTCGACCCTTCTAGAGTTTCCAAGCATCGTAGCATCACCCCCCCGCCATCCCCCCCAATCTAATTAATCCTCCGACAGGTACACTACACTCCGCATCAACTCCGCTGCGCAGCCATGTAAAGGGGAAACGCTAGATTAATTAATTGGCTTTGCATTGTGGGATTTTGATTGTCCTTGCATGTGTATGCAGATAGATATATTGTGCGGGCAACTTGGATAGAACAGATAGATAGACATACATAGACAAAAACAAGAGATAGTCCGGCCGGCCGGCCGGGTAGAGGCGGTGTTAGAGTACCTGTAGGTAGGCATGTATCCCAACAATCTGTAAGTAATCTCTTCTTGCGCCCCAGTAATATGACGAGGATATGACAGCTTAGGCGAGAGAGGAGTAGAGAACGGAGGGAGATGCGCCTACCTGATATCAGTGACACCACCGCTAGCCTTGCTCTTGCTCTCGATATCACCTCTGAACACAACATTCGCGCAGGAAGAAGACATCTTTTGACAAATTTCAGTTCAGAAAACGAGGGCCTCCCTGAATTTTTACCTGTGCTTGTCATCGACAAAGCTCTGACACGGCTCAGTGGACGGTCGGCAAAGAGCATCAAAGTGGGCGTCCAGACAGCCGCTACCGCGAGATAAGGGGCCACGTTGCAACCAAGATCGCTTATGATAGCCGCCGCCGCTCGGCAACAACGTCTCTAACCTCTCGGGCATATATCCCTATTTCTCGCCTTCGGCAGAATTTGAGTGCTGATTGCATGGTGTGTGCACATTCTCCCCTGCATTTTACCTAACCGCCGCCAGGCGCAGGCACAAACCACCAGCAACGCTCAGAAAACAGAAAGTGTGGTGCTCTATCCGATCACCCCGATCCCGATCGGTGACAAGAGGAGCACGCACCCTAATGGTGGGAAGACGAAACCTGAGTTGGCCCGATATCTGTGGAGCCGACCCGTTGTTCCTTCGCCCCAGGTAGCGAGCGGGTCGCCGTAACGGTTGCGTGGGGATGGGTTTCAGTGAGCCCATGGTATCGAGAAGGCCCGACAGATGCAAGGTTTATGATACGCGGTCCTCGACATTTTCATGCTTGTCGACGTCCTTCCCGTCATCATCATCATTGTTTTCAGTCTCGTCGTCATCATCCTCGCTATCGTTGACAACCAGCGTTGATTCTGGGTCCTTGCCATCGTCTGATTCCCCTTGTACGCCCTCATCAAGCAGATCCGCATTGCTCTCCGACTCCCGAGTGAGCAGAATGTCCTCGCTGCCTTGCCATTGCGAGGGCATAGGTGGGAGGGCACCTGGCTCTAGGTCCCAACCGTAATCTTCATCATCATCACCCTCGTCCTCGCTGTCGGCGATCTCGAAGCCGGTATCCCCAAGCTTGCGTTTTTGGACACCTGATGGCGTCGACATCGTCCTCAAGGGGCTTGAAGCCTGGTCGTACTCCACCGGAACCAAACCGGCCTTGTCGTAGCAAAGTTAGCAAAGAAGACAACAACATCAGACCCAGACTACTGATCGATCAAAGAAACATACTGCCTCAATATGGAACCCGCAGAGTGCGGCTGCATCATCCGCATGCTTGTCAACTCCGTTCAGCTTCTGGATGAACGCAAAGCGCAGAGCAGTGGAAGTCTCGAAGTCATTTTGAAGCCGGTCTCTGAACAGTGCGATCCTCGAGACAATACCTTGTCTCCAGACGCTTGCATTGATGGCGGGAACCAAGGTTGCACCGCGTTCCGCCTGCATCTTTGTGGCGCACTGCGTGAGGATGACAATAGCCACATCCCGGGTTGCTGCCAGCTTTTGAAGGTTGCTCAAAATATAGTGAAGTGCCTGTATTCTGCGTTCTGCAGGTATTGGTGCTACATGAAAAGTCAGTCTCAAGCTTGTTGGATCTCCGCGCCGAAAAATGTACCTCGGGTATCTTTATGCTTCGTCTGAGGGGCCTGCCTCAGGTCTGTATTCTTGAGGACGTCATGGTTGACCAGCGCCGAAAGGGAATCAACAACAATCAATGATGTCCACTCTGGGATACAAGACGCCGTGGGCCGACATAGCAGGGCTATGAGATGAACCAAGGTCGGGCAGCTATAGTGAACAAACTTGTCTAATGGTTGGATCTGCCCATCCTCAGAGTTCAAATCCACGACCTGGTGCAACCGCTCAATGGACATCCGGTGAAAGCCATCTGCATCCGTATAAGTGCCTGACCACAAGAGACTGCCAAGGCCCGACTGGAATGGGTTGAAAGGGAGGAGAAGAGGCTAAACAGACCTACCCAGACGACTCCGCCGCCTTCGCGAAGGCAGTTAGCAGTGAGCTGGATTCTAAGATCGAGGTGTCAGTTACATTTACTGCACGCACGGATGAGGGGAGTGGGTGTAAGGAGGATGAGATACCCGAATGCTGTCTTTCCCACGCCCGGGGGCCCCCATATTTCCGTCACACTGCCCTTCTGGATGCCATTTGAGGCATCGAGAACTGGAAGGCCGGTGGAGATGTGGTGGTTCTGGGTCCCTTCAAAGTCTTCCAGGGCCTGTGCAGCCGACACGGTAGGAAGACGGTCTGGATCCGACAAGTGTTAATCTTTTTTTCTTGTCTTTTGGGTTGGAGGGTTGGGTTGCTTGGGTCTTACGGATTGAGGAAAGGTCAAGGCTTGAGCCATGGATTGTATCCATCATGGAGGAGTCGACATCACCATGTCAAGCAACGGCCGCTGTTCTCCCGTGCTTTGGGCGGAGATGGTTCCAGGCGATTTGAGGGCGGTCAACGGTTGAATCGGGTTTGCAGCCTGTTGGTACCAAAAATTTGGTAGCTCTGCCAGTTCACCATTGATCGTTGCAGGCAAGAGCGGGGAATCGGCCCGCCAGAGCGTACGCATTGCTCAGAGGAAGGGCCAAGGCACGTGCAGCCAGCGACTCCCTAAAGTTTAGGCGACGGCGGGAGCACAGTGGATGCTCTTCCCAGGCGCTGAGATGAGATGAAGACAAGCGACGTTTCGTCTCATTTCGCGATACAAGACCGTGAGAATAGCCGCAGTGCATAATGCACCGAACATCAAGCGCGGCGTGCTGGCGGAAGAGTCGTTTGTTGAGTAAAACTAAGAGAGAGACCATGAAGCATTTCCGCCACATCATGGGCATCAATGCCGATCACAAAAGGACAGGGTTCGCTGAATAGAGAGCACACAACACAGTCTTGATTGAGGCTTCCTCTTCATCTTAAACCCTCTACAAAACAAAGCCCCAGATGGGGTTTATGTGTGCAAAAATGCAAAAGAAGATGCGGTTTATGTGGATCGAACACATGACCTTCAGATTGACTTCCTGAAGTTGACTTCAGTCTGACGCTCTCCCAACTGAGCTAAACCCGCTCCATGGGAGGTTTCAATAATCTTTAGGTATATAACAGCAACTGGGTAGGATTTAGCCGCGTGTATCACATGTTTCGTAGCCTCCTGAGCCCTTGCATGATGTCATTGGCACATGTTCATGAAGCAATCTCCATCCCATAGCTCATCAAAACAATCTGACCGCAAGCCACCTAACCCTACGTGCCGGGTCTTTCTCGTAAGAGTAGAAGGCTCAAAAAAATTCCACCCCCTCTAGTCATAGTGATCGCCATGGACTGCACTTCACCATGTCACTGACATTACGCCAACACTCTGTAGCTCCTTATCAGGCCAATATCTGGCCATTCTGTGCTGGCGCTTGAGCTAATCCGACAAAAAACGAAAGGTTGACGGCGACGGCGACAACAGTGACGACGGGCCTCGTTCACATGCCAAAGCCTCCCGTCATTTCCCCGCCGTGCAGGAGGAGCTCCCAAGAAAAGAAACATCTACCAGTGGTTGTTGGGGTCTAACGTTCGGTCGGCAATCCGCGCCCCGGATTTTCGGCCCCTTGCCGAGGGCAGATGGAGGTTAGCCTGGTACAATAGGACCCAAAGGGCCCGGGGGGAGAACCTCTTTAGTGGGGGGACTGCTTTTGACGGTCTCGCCCGTTTTATCAAGCGGTAAGCCAAGAAGAACCAGCCGACGGCTTTTCTGGATGGAAATCTCCGACATGGGATGTTAGCATCCCATGCTTGAGCCGCGGAAGAAGGGACACCCACGTTTGACATCGCCTTGGGATAGCGGACCTTGCTATCCCTGGCAAACCACAAAAGGGAGTCCCCTCCCACACGTGCCACCGAGGAGAAGAGGCTCAACAAACGCCGAGAAAGTGACAGCCGTGCGTAACGCGGGGGGTACCTTCGGATATTAGATGGGATATAGCCCACTTCTCCCCGTGCCGAAGCGGTGTTCGGGTCTCATGAACCCCAGCCCCGCTGTCGTTGGTGAGGCTGATCAGGGTGCGTGGGAGGTCCGCTTTCCAAACTCGGACCATGGAACAACTCCCATCCGCCCCTCGTTTCCAATTCCAGCATAATCATCATCCGCCGTGACGGAGCTTAGCAGCAGACTGCGATGTCCATGCGGTGTCAAGGTGCAAAACTAAGAGCGAGGAAACTGTTTTCCCATGCTCCTACTACCCCGGTCTTGGCTGCGATAAGAGCGAAAATTATCAGGACATGGCAACGCCTGTCTCGGAGTTTCTCGGCTCCTTCGACGGGAGTATTTTGGTGGAAGTGCCCCGGGGGATTGGTTTGGCCGCAGAAAAAAGTTGCACCTGTCCCTCCACACCTCCGCCCGTTAGCGTCGTGGTGCAATGCTTGGACTGCCCTGGGGCCCCACAAGATCATGCTGTCACTCGTCCAAACCCGACGAGTTGCACCGGGTTTTGCTGCGTGGAAGCTAGGGAAAACGCTCGCGGAGCCGCCGGGTAAATTGACGACTCAGGGCGATCGATCTCCGTTGCATGAGTGCAGCCGCCGCCCATTCAGAACGTCGGGACCAGGCACGCAGCAGTCATCGTGGTTCCTGTTGTCCTTGAGGTAGAGCGACAAAAAGATGCGTCCTTTTCCGTCGGATTTCTCCAGCTTCTTGTCTCTAGCCCGTCAACCTTTTTTCTGGGGCGGATCCTCGGTGTTTCTGTGGATCACGGCATCATCCGAGATCTCGAGCCGGCGCTATTAATGACTCGCGACAAGGCCGTCGTTTTCTCTTTATCTCGCGCTTCGGGCTCTCAGGGTTCGGGTACTGTCCCGAAACATTAGGGCTCAGACTGCTGGAGAACATCGATGACTGTGCTGTAATCGTCGTTGCGACCGCCAGACGACAGGGGATATGGCTTCCTCCCACTGGCGACCGGAGTGTGACAGCTCGGAGATACTGTGCTGATGAAACCAGGTGCAAGCCTGCTCAGAGAAGCCTTCAGCCTGTCAACCAGTCCACCCCGAACGCTTTGCTTGGCTCCTGTCGTTGGTGAAAGCTGCGAACAACCCCAGATCCCCGGAAGATGTTGAGCCCGTCCCATAGAAACAGTCAGCTGCTGGGAAAGGTCGAGGATAGCCTGAGATTCGCAGTTGCGGCTCTTTTCTGACTCGCTGTGGGCGATGCTTGTCAACGTCAAACTGGTGCTTAGGGCTGAAAGGCTGCCTTCAAAGACCAACTGCCGCTTTCAACCGGTTTCGGCGGGGCGGGCTCTCCCATCAGATTCCCAGAAAAAGGAGACCACATGATACGAACATTCTTGTGTGATCCCAACAACAAGCTGAAAGCCAAAGAAGCCCTCGGGCAGAAAAATGGATTTTGCCAGCACAGCGGATCCGCAAGAGCACCTTGAGGGACAAACGCGCGACAGCCACAGGCCAGGGTAGCAATTGCCCCTTTAGGTTAGTGCCAAGGCTTCAGTGAGTCAATCAACTCCAGGTCTGATGTCAATTATCAGAACCCCATCGTCGATAACTGAGACACAGGTCAAGTGGTGAATATTCTGATTTTCTCAATTCTCTGCAGTGACCCGTGGTGACCAGTCACTGTCACCTCTGCTATCCCCCAGTCTAGTTGAGTGTTGAGGTGATGTGATCCGGTGCCTGAGGTGCAAGGTGATTAAAGCGTTGTGGTTGAAAGGGTGCGACCCAAACCCCCACGCCCGCTCTTCCAAAAAAAAAATGCGGGTTAAGCGACAACATCAGGACACACCCAAGGTCAACGCAGGAGCATCACGCCAGAACAGGAGCTTCTGGTCCACAGCTGCAAATCCTCTGGAGCAGCCCCGGAGAATGTGAAATGGCCAGTTCGAGTTTGATCCTAAAGAAGCAATTGACCTTTGAATGGGTGATCGGCTTCTTCGGTCTCCGAGCCGGTCGCACCTCAGAGTGGAAGGAATGTGGCGCCTTGGGCCCGATTGGGGCTTATCGCATCCCCAGGTCCCCAAGGTGTTCCGGTAGGTACCCCGGATTTTGTGAGTGACGTGAGAGGACCCCTGACTGAAGGGAAGGAGGCTCCCCAATACCTCTTTCAAGAGGGCGGCGTCGAGCATGGCTTCTCCAGTCGTTGCAAGTGCCGCAAATGAGCGGCGTTATTTTCGCAGTGCTTGCGCGGCGATACGAGGTTCTCCTTTTCGTTTGTTATTTGATCGAAGCTTTTTGTTGGCGAATAGTAATAATAATGGGTAGGGCCGAGGAGCAAGCGATCAAATTCGTCAGCCGAGGGTTGGACGAGGCCTCGTCCATGTCCCATCGAATCTCTCCCCACATTCTGCCCGAACCTCCACACTTTGTGTCGTCGATGCTTATCTCTGCTCGCGCCACCCCCAAGATTGCTGGATACACGTCTCACGTTGCTCCTGGGGAACTGGTGTGGGACTGAAAAGCAAGTAATGAGGTCAGTCGAGGCCTTTTCCGCAACCGTGATAATCATCCATCGCAACGAAGAAAACAAGGAAGTAGTGGAAACATGATGAGGCCTTTCAAGCACGCTATCATCATCGTGGTGAGGTTGCTGCTTTCGCCTGTCGTAACTCCTCCTAACTCCCTCGGCCGGGCGGCTCCCCCAAGCTTCTTTTCTTGGCCTTCGGCGCTCAAAACGTCGACTCAGCAGAGATGAATGCTGCAACATGATCAAACATTGTGGGTACGGCCGAGGATATGCTCAAAGCCAAGGTAAGAGTGAGTTACCCACGGTCTTGGGGGATTTTCATTATAGAGGCTGGGGACTGGTTACTCGCGGATGCGTGGGTAACAATCACGGTTATAATGATAATCCATGTACCTTTTCCCCAGATGTGCAACTTACATCATGATCATGCCTAGTGCATCTCCCCCGGATTCGACGACACTCGAGTGACGGGAAGCCTTATCGGTCTCGGCTCTCGCCGTTCAGTTGGAGATCTCAGTTCTTGGTGTTACGACAAACTTTGAGCTCTTCAAATCAAGACAAAAAGTTGAGAAAATAACAAGCGGGGGAACGTACCGGAGCCCAATCGTCTTGCGCATACCGCTACTCAGCCACCACGCACACCGCCCCCCTGTCCTGTGAAATCGGCCTCACCCACATCGTGCTCCTTTGCGTACACAGGAGGCAGAAGGGAAAGGAGTCTTGTCTTGACAAAAGGTATAGCTGCACCCTCTGGAGAGGCCGCTGCATGACCTTCACCCTCGCACATGAAAGAAATAACACACACGGCGGCCTTCGCCTTGGTTCTCGGGTGATGGTGGGATGGCGGACGGGAGGGAATGCCTGAGTGCTGGCAACTTCATATGAATTGTGTGCAATGAAAAATCGAGAGCAACTCGGAGTTATGCGCTGGCACTTGTGCGAGAAGGCGGAGGATAGGACAGTCCTACTTTATGAGTTGCAGAACATCAACAAGACGGTAATATAACATAAGTCTTGGTTCACCTCGCATGAGACACTGGTGGACATGCGATAGCATCATACTCCGTACCGCTCTATAATCAGCCTCTGCCGAGAGAGTTGGCGTCTTGTGCCTTTGGGTGTGAAGCTGAGGTGATCGCTATCTCACAACACCCCACGCTCGGCTCCTGTTGGTGCCTTCCTGTTTGCCGTGTCCTCTCCGAACACAACTCCACCCGCCCCATACAGTGCCCCCGCCCCTCCCCCACAGCAGACCCCTTTCCACCTGGGGACTAGCACCGTAATACATTTCCAATAAAGTACCGCCGCCTCAACAGTTGCACACCGGTGAAAATTTCACCATGAACGGGCAGCAGAGGGCGGGTGCAGAGAGGGCTGCATGGAAAGGGTACATTTCCACTCGGGTGCGGCAGAGAACAAGCACATATGGACGGGTGGGTGGAGAGAACTGGAAGGGGGAGGGCTGTGAAATGGGGGTGGATGTACCTTACCGCAGCTACCTACATAGGCGTGAAATGCGGTACCCTTTGGGCTAGGTACCGATGACATTTTATTTTTTCTTTTTCCCCGAGATGCCCCCTCCCCACCCCCCCTGGTGTTCAGGGAAGGGGCGCGCTGAGTCGCTAGGGACCTTACCGAACGCACCCCCCCGTGGTGTCCACACCACATGCCTGGCACGCCCCGGTGTCAGCCCGCTCACCCGCCATTTAAAACCAGCATGGCAGCCGCCCCCCAAAACCCAGGCTCTCAGTGCTCCTGCTTGCTACTTCAGATTTCCCATGCTACATTAAAAGCTTTTCCCCAACAGCGCCCGCACCACGTCCCCAGACCCAGTCGTCAACCCGCACGCCAGCAAAACCTTAACTCCAACTCCAACCCAACGGGCCGCCCTATTCATCTCGTCCCAACTTTTGCAAAGAAACGAGGAACGTCTGGAACCCCAAAGGGGCTGAGAGCGTTGACCGACACTTTTCTCACCTTCGATCTTGTCCGTCGCCGGCTGCATGCATTTTGTGCAGCTCAATTGGAAGACAACTGGGACAACTATACGACCGAGTAGGGGTTAAACAGAGTCCCAGCACAAGGGCGACCGATCACATGCAACGAACGCAATCTGCAGTGGACTTTTCCAGTCTACTGAACCCGGAGACAACAACAGAGAGGGACCAGCTTTCTCCCCAACGGCAGACGCAAACGCAAACGCAGACTCCCGCCGTCGACGTCGAGATGTCTGTTGGATTGCTCCGTCCAAATGGGCCTTTGCCCACGGGCGCTCAGTCGGCTGACAGCACGAATGAGCTCCCCCGTCCTTACAAATGCACCATGTGTGACAAGGCTTTCCACCGCCTCGAGCACCAGACCCGTCACATCCGGACGCACACAGGCGAGAAGCCACACGCCTGCCACCACCCAGGCTGCAGCAAGAGGTTCTCGCGCTCAGATGAACTAACGAGGCACTCGAGGATACACAACAACCCCAACTCCAGGAGAGGGAACAAGGGACATCAGCACGCTGGTCTGGTTCACAGACTGCAGCCTGATGTCATGCCTCCACCGCAGCCCAAGACGATTCGCTCGGCTCCCCCGACCGCGATCTCTTCTCCCAATGTCTCGCCTCCTCATTACCACTCGTACAACTTCTCCCCTCAGCCTACGCTGAGCCCATACCATCGCAATGCTCTTGGTAGCCAGAGCGGTCCCGACATTCAGATGCTGGCGAGAGCTGTTGGTCAAGTCGAGCGGGACAAGATGGCCCCTTACGGCTCAAGACATGCTCACTTCTATGGCAACGGCATTGCCACATCAAGGAATCCCCTGATGGCCGGCCCTTCGCTGCATGCCTACCATATTTCTCGGCCCACTCACTCCCACGATGACGACGACCATTATCACAATTACAGACACGCTAAGAGGTCGAGACCCAACTCGCCTAACTCCACCGCTCCTTCTTCTCCCACGTTTTCTCACAATTCACTCTCGCCAACTCCCGACCACACACCACTTGCCACGCCTGCCCACTCTCCGCGTCTCCGGCCGTTTGGAACCGAGCTCGCGCCGTTTCGCAATCTTTCTTTGCATAGCCAAGTTCCAGCGCTTGCTCCCCTTGAGCCGCAACCCGAAGGTCAGCAGTTCTCGCAGCCACCCGCGCAAGCGCCATCTCGCAGCGGCATTTCCTTGACCGACGTGATCAACCGTCCAGATGGAGCTCGCAAACTTCCACTTCCAAGGATGAGTGTCAGCGACATGCTCACGCCAAGTGATGGCTACAGCCTCAGTGGCAGAAACTCGACCGCCAACAGCGTTGCTGGAGATTTCTTGTAACGAGTGTGACCACGGAAGGGCGAGTGAATTGTACAACTTTGTTAAAGTTTGCAGTCTCTTAACGACATGATATGACGACAACGAACAAACCCGGGACTATAGAGGATATACTACGGGGCGTTTGGGCAGGTTTCTCTTTGGATGGAACAGGAAAGGTCACGGGTACTCGAATCATTAATAGCGACCAAAAGTTGAGCGTTTTGGCTTCGCCGTGGTGGGATCTGGACACATAGGCACACGCGGTTTTTTTTTTCTTGATGTTTTTCTATGGCGGAACTTGTTTTTCCGAGGCGGGTTATAGACATCACCACTTCCTTTTTGTTTCTGGACGGACGGACGGATAGACTTGACTTCGCTCATATATATTATATATGATTCCGCTGTTATCTCCAATGAGGTCAGCGAACATGATAAACGCTATTAGTATTTTGCACTTTGCAACACTTTCTGTCTTTCCGGACCTTGCGACCACTGTGATATGCAATCCTTGAATTCATCTGATCCCTTCTGGCCTCTAAAGTTGACTATTTCATAAAGAAACTCGACAAGACAGAACTCCATTTCTGCCCACTCTTGCTCTGCTTGCCCGTGTGACAACAACCCCCACGCTCAAGATGGTCACATACTCACGAACAAAGTTGGGATGTGGTTTTTGGCGCTTTGTGTCTCGTGAACCCAAACATGAAAGAGTATGGCACCTGCCCGCAACACGAGATAGTGGGATGGAAGAACAGAATGTGATGTATCAACGTACACGACGTCCGCGGCCTCGCCTACCACCACCGCCGCCTCCATGTAATGTACTTGTCCGTTGGGGGGGGGGACGTGGAAGACACCCATGATGTAGGATAAGCAGCACTACCACACCTTTTTATGTGTCTCTGATGGGTCCAAAATATATCACCACGCGTAACCTGCCTACGTATGTAGGTAGGCTTATATTCATTGTACTCGGACTGTGGAGTACCGGTGCTGGTGTGGACTGTCTCACTCGGGACAGTCAACAAAGTTTTGCAAGGCTGAGAGACATGTCCTCTGTCAGTGGATGAGTCTAGACAAGGAGAAATTTCAGACCAAACAAACTCCAACCAACAGCTGCGGCGTAGAAAAAAAAAGCCTTGTGTGAAACCCGCTCCACACCATCCAAGCATCCCTCGATACGGCACTGCATTCTGCATTGCTTCTGCCAGAAAAAAAAAATCCTCACCCCGCCATTTTGCCCAGGTCGTAAATACCGAGACGAAAGGCTGGTTCGGTCAGAAAATGGCATTTCTCTACATTTCCATTGACACCAAAAGAAGAGTGGGTATGCAACCCGCATACCTATTAGTCAAAAGGGCTGACATGGAGAGTGACACCCAAAGAAACTTGACTAATAATTAGCCAGCAATGACGCCAACCCAACAAACCTCCCACCCGCGACACTCACTCGACTTTTTTTTAAAAAAATAATAATTTGTTTTTAGCCTTCTCCAAGGCAAGGCAAAGCGGCTCTTAAAAGTGGACGCTGAGAAGTTGGGATTTCCATTAGGCACCGAATTTCTAGAACAATATGCACCTGTTGGAGAAAAGAGTTTTTGACCCAATGTGAGTCAAGTACGTATTGTCACAACCAAGCCTCTCTGCTTCGTGTCTTGGGTTTTTTGCTCCGCCTCGGCCTCCCCTTTTCCCTTTCTCTGCCTTCTCTCCAGACGGCGCGCTTCCACACAAAATCCGGGCGCAAGTTAACAAAAACCTGGGGGGGGGGGGAAGGTTATTTCCTTGGCAGTTGTGTGCCAGTGAGGGAGAGGCCCAGGAGGCGTATGCAATGTGGGGAGGGCAATCGATTGGATCCCGGATTTTTGCCTGGTGTGTGTACTTGATGGTTGTAAATTCGTATCAGGTCAGCTTGTATGTAAGGTTTTTCTTTCTGTTCTTTGTTTTCCATTCAGTACTTTCTGGACAATCCATTTTCCGTATTTTACCGCAAGCTAACAACATCGAGTCTTTCCAGAAAACCACCCCCACCACGGGCCTCGCTCGTAAAAACAAGGGGCTGGCGCAAAAGGGAACTTCTTTAAACTCGTACCGCCGTCTGCGCGGCTTGGGGCCTGTAGGTTGATCTCCCTAGGCCGCCAGCCGGAACGACCCCCGGACTCGCAATGTGTGGGGTGACAACGTGCTAAAGTCTGGGGATGCGCGATGCCGGGACGACACTGAGGCAGCGCTTGGTAACACACCAAAAGCCGAGCAACGATAGCGCCATTGTGACCCCCAACTTTTCCTTTTCTCGATGACGATCCCGGAGCCTTGACGTGTGAGCTAGTTTTCTTCACGACCCGCGGCGCTCCTCATGGCTTCATCAATGGCTGGGCCCATTCTGGTCTAGCAGAATTGAAGCGGATGTAGATATCCGTATACGCATCCCGGGGCTAGAGTTTGGAGATGAGTCAGGAGACCTGTTGCCACGAGTCTTCTCCAAGACGCAAAAAAAACCTGGCCAAGTCGGTCCACGTTGTGCTGCGTGATCCATATTTCGGCACAACTTGCATCGTGCGGTTGTGCTGTGACCCTGTCCTCTGGCCTCCCCGCCCGATTTCGCAGCAGTAAAAGGCTGGAAGGTCACACTAATGACAAACCTTCGGGAAGATGGCGGCATGAGAAATGGTTTAGTGTCGTTTATAGGGTGGTGTGTACTGTATGTGTGTAGTCTCCTCCCGTCGGCTCTCGCGCTTTGAACGGGGCGGCTTGATTAGTGAGGGTGTAGAAAGTGATGTACACACATCTATGTCAGTCAGAGCAGCTTGGAGGCGTAAAATGTTACTCTCTTCACCGCAACTTCGGGAACAGAAACAGAACCATGGTGGTGGTTGGTTAGTTTGAACCTATTCGCTCTGGCCATGCCATGTGTGGTGGGCGCCTTTTGCTACAGCAGTGATGCAATCCATGTGCTTCTCTCGGATCATCTCTCTTGATGGCCAAGCGCCAATAAGTTGAACCTGGGAGTCTGGGGCGGCTCATCGGCTTCTCTCTGCTCAGTGAGCCTAGACTGTCCTTACATTTTGGCTGCAGATGTTCCTGCACGGCTTGCTTCGTGTCCCGGTCACGCCCTTCGTTGGCGAGGTGAGGAAGAGATAAGGAACCAACCGTCAGCCAGTCAGAGTCTGGCATATTCCGGGCCGTCGGGTGTGAAACAGTGTGCTTCCTACACGACGACGAGGGGTTGACGTTGTCAAGCCGGTGATGAGATGGATGACCCGACCACCTCCTGACCACATTGCATCACCCTGGCCTCCCGTTGGATCAGGGGCTGTCATCCCCACAAACACGGTGCGGCCTCGACCCCAAGATTCCCGAGCTTCGCTAACGCGATCTAGGGACAGGCGGAGAACCTTGTTTCGTTGCAGCTGCCCCTTTGAGGATGGAGCGAACACCAGCTCCGTGATAAAGCTCTCGGTTCGAAGGTGTGGAGGGATAAGATCGGCGAAAGCGTGACCTTTGCGGCCGAAATAGCATACAGATTGGAGTGTGAGCATGATGTTTCGATAGTGGGGGCTCCAGCATTCCAAGCAATCATAGCATCAAACCGCTGTCTCTCACCTGGTCTGACAGGTGAGGTAAGAAACAATCAACCCTGTGATAGTTGGAAGGCGGTTCGATGCAACCCTTGTACCTGGGTGCGAAACCACGTCAACCTGAGGCGCCCGGAGCTTCTTGCTTGAACGGTTGGTGCTCTCGAGCTACTATGGTTCCGGTAATGTGTAGTTGCGTGTTGCTTGTAATGCAACAAGTCAGATGCAGATGGTGTCAACAGAAGCGGCACTTCTAGGTTTTTGAGGCTGTATACCTAGTATTCAGGATTGCGCGTCTCGTAGGTACACGAGCAGGTACGAGTTGGTTCCTGCCGTCATCTGAAGTCGCAAGTTTGCGTGATCCGGAGTTTGGGATGGCAGGTCCCCACATGCCCCACCCCCACGCCCCACGGGGTTCTGAAGCTTAAAGCTAACCCCAGGCCGCCAGCCAAGCCACCAGGCCAGACTGTGATGCAACCCCACATTTCGACGACAACATCTCGCCCAGTCGCGGAACCACGAGCCTTGAACGATCAGCTCTGGGGCGTGATAACGATATCTGTGGCTGGACCCCCATATCCGACGGTTGCACCAGCCAAGTCAATACAGGAGGGAAAGGGGGCAGCTTTGCTCCCAGTTATCCTGCGGTACGTACTTGGCGCGATAAGAACCGTTGCGTTGTGTTTTCGGGAAGGACGTTACAAGCGGACAAGCCGGTCGAGACTCGGACAAGGCATGCTTCGAGCATAAGCCACAATCAAAAACACATTGCTCAACCACAGACCCAGCTTTCATGGTTGCCCAGACGGGCGATGGCATCAGGAAGACGGTCAGCACACCTTGACACCCTTGCCACAAAATAGTTGAGACACTGAAGTAGGTGAAGCATGCTTTGGAGGATAGTTCATAGGCCTTTAACGATGGTCCATAGGCCTTTAAAGATAATTAATAAGCCTTGAAAGATCGTTTAGAGGCCTGTTAATTTACTTTTAGGGCATAAGGTAGTTTACAGTATAGTATGGGTTAACTTACTTTTGCTGTCTCAATTGTTTTGTAGGGAGGGTGCTTGAGTCTCACCAGCAGAGCGTTACGTGCAGAAGGCAGCCAACCACACCTGGCAGCATGCTTTGGCGGTCCGAGGATGCACCTCGCCTGAAACTGAAGGATTTCAGGCGCTTGCGAATGGGACGGCGAGTGTTAGGTGCTGGTGAAAACGGACAATGCTCCTTTACTGGCCTCGGCCTGCTTGCTCCCAAGAGAACGCGGTAAGCGCGAATTGGAGAGAACCAGAGATGCAACTTTGTGGGCGACATTGTTTAACCAGAGCTTCTTAGATTCCACCAGGACTCTCAATGACTTTTGCGCCTCACGCATGCTTGCGGCCAACGCTCATGATACTCCGACGTCCCACTGCTCTGGTTCGTCGGCCGCTTCAGGCTCCCTGCTTCC